TGCTGTCACCAGCTGCCAGGTCTACCACCAGGTGACTGTGTTCTCCCTTTCTCTGTCTCTTTCTGCAGAGAAACTTTTCTGTTTAAGTCCTGACACCTTCAGATGAAGACAGTTTGGTATTTGTTTGTTCAGTCAACACGCGGATAAAGACTAATTTTAGTAAAGGTCTTTAAGGAGAGTTTTATTTTTAAAAATCAAATAATTAGATAATGCCTGATGCTTTCTGAGCACCCTCTTGTAACGAACCGAAACACACGGAAAGGGATGGGAGTGGACTCCAGCTCACCTTCTTGGCTCTGCTTCCCACACAGGTCCCTGCAGCGGAAAGTTTTGCCAAATTAGGCAAAATTCACCCAAGAAGCAGATGTGCTGATACGTGCCTTCAGTGTCACTGGTTTGGGGGGGGATTTATGGCCTTTAGCAGATGTTCGTGGACTCTAAACTCATCCTGTTCTTCCAGTGAATACTGAAAAAACTATTCTTGGTGAATGCTGACAGAAATTTAAGAAATATTATTGTATCCACATGTGAAAATCTGTTGTTGTTTTGAGGTTTTCTTTTTTTTCCTTCTGAGATAGTTGGTAAATCTTGAGAGCAGACATCCATTTTTCCATCAGTAACACCTGGATTTCTCCTCACACCCAGCTGTACCTGCTGCTGGTGAGGCCGTGGAGCTGCTGGAGCAGAGTTGTTCCCAACCCTTTATCTGTGTGGGTTTGGTGGTTTAAATAAAACAGGCTCTGAGGTCTCCTGTGTGTGTGCTGGGTACAGGTACAGACCAGGGGCCGGTTGGAGCTGCCTGGTGTGGCTCAGCATCCTAAGGCCATTAACTCTGAGCTATCAAAGATACAAGAAGCACTACATGGGTCTGATTTAAGGAACTAAATAAACATTCCATTCCTGTCCTTTCCCTTTGCATCGTAGTTTTGTCCGTCACCTTATTGTGGGGTAATTTACTGGGAAAACAGACAAAGACAGGACAGACAAGAGCTTCCCAAGAAGTGTGGTTGCAGTTATGGATTGATGTGAAACACCTGGAGCTGGGGGGGGTCACAGAGCATCCTCCCCCCGTGGGCCGGGGTCTCTGCCCCCCCCTTTGGGGCAGAGCTGGGTGTCAGACTGGCAGGGGGGTGTCTTGTTTTATTTTGTTTTTTAAATGGCCACTTAGCAGATGAGTTGGTTGCTTCCCGTTGCTGCTGTGTAACTGTGCATACAAATCAGGCGTTCAGTTTGTGCCGTCATTTTTTTCCCCCTTTTTTCTGCTGTGTCCCTGAGCTACTTTGGTTTCTAAATTCAGGCCTCGCATATTTATCTGTGCCATTCAATTAGACCACATCCCTGATGCTGCTCTATAGTTTCACAGTATGTGGGAAATTTGGTAATTAAATGCATGCAAATGCTGCAAGAATGGAATAAATTAATTTTTCTTTAATATCAGCAGGCTATTCTGTGGTGTTTCTGGAGATAAAGTGACCAAGATACCGGCTTTTCTCTCCCCCTTTTACCATCCTTTTTGAGTCTTTAGTTGTTATTACTCCAGAAACACCTGGGCAGGTTGATGGGAAAAGAATCCCAGCCCGGGCTGCGCTGTGTGGTTACACCGGGAGGGAGATCCAGACTTAGGTTTTTTTGGATCTCCAAATAAAACCTGGGATCGAAGCAGCGTTCAATTAAGTTCTCCGCGTGTGGTGCGGCTTGAGGTCTGCAGGTGAATCAGAGCGAAGCAGTTGTGAGGAGTAACCTGAAATCCCGGGGAAGCCAGATGTTCTGGCTGCTGGAAGCCCCTCAGGTGCTGCGCTGAGGGTCAGGATCTCCAGGTATTCCTAAAGGAAGGCTCAGTTCCCTCCGTGCTGTGTCTATCCATGAATTCTGCTGTGGTCCATAGGTCATGGTTCCAGGGCTCGGCGCGTGTCTCAGCTCATCCTTGGGGCCGGAGCTGCCTCCAGCTTGGTGGTGGCTCTGTTGGCTCTTCCCACGGGAATAGTTCTTCAAAGCCTTGGTAAAGACCTTGGTGCCTAGTATTATGCTTAAATACCTGAATTTTAGTGATTTAGGCCTATGTCATGGTTTTCAAGGAATATGAAAGTCGTAGAATTGTAGAATGGTTTGGGTTGGAAGGGACCTTGAAGGCCCTTCCAAGGGCCACCCCCTGCCCTGGGCAGGGACACCTCCCACCAGACCAAGCCCCCTCCAACCTGGCCTTGAACCCCTCCAGGGATGGGGCAGCCACAGCTTCTCTGGGCAGCCTGTGCCAGGCTCTCACCACCCTCAGGGTGAAAAGTCTTTCAGAGATTCCAGATGTCTCACAGGTGTTGTGTTGCTGGTGTGTGGTAGCTTAGCTGGTCTGACCTCACTCATGATCTTTTTTCCATACTGAAGGGACCTTACCCGGGTAGCTTTTGGATTCTTTCTCTGCCGTACAGTGGTGGTTATTTTGCCTTTCCTGTGGAATTTGTCAACCCTTTGGTGGTCGGGTTCCTCCCCATCGTGCCGAGCCGTGCCAGGACCAGCACTGCGCTGCTCCTCCGCCGGTTCCTCTGGTTCCTCTCCTCTCCTGGCCTCCTCCTGGGGTGTGAAAGCCTGAGGAGGTACTGATGGCTCAGAAATGTGATAAATTCTTGTTGCTGGTTCCTGAGCGAGAGCTTGGCAGGAGGCGCCGAGCTGCAGAGGGTTCGTGGGCGGTTGGGTTTGGAGGAACCAGCGTCCCCCAGCTCCGCTCCGTCGTCGGAGCAGGCGCAGAGCAGGGTGCCCGTTGGAGGGACGGGGGAAGGTCCCGCCGGGCTCCGTGCTGCTCCCAGAGCTTCTCCTCCGAGCTTCTCCTCCACGGGGCTTCCCCACCCGCTCCCCTGCCCCTTCTCTCTCAGTCACGGAGAAGTGCTCCTTCTCCTTGTGGTGTCTGAGGCAAAGATGACTCTGTGTCCAACCCGCACAGGGCAGAAATCTCACTTTCAGAAATTATTATTGTCTTTTTAAATTATTTCATTCTTAAGACCTGAAATGAATAGAAACCCTGATACAGGGGTACTGGTATCTGGAACAGGTGCAGCTGGAGGGCCACGAAGGTGATCAGAGGGATGGAGCACCTCTGCTATGGAGACAGGCTGAGGGAGCTGGGGTTGTTCAGCCTGGAGAAGAGAAGGCTCCGGGGAGACCTTATAGCGGCCTTTCAATACCTGAAGGGTGCCTATAGAAGAGCTGGGGAGGGACTCTTTGCCAGGAAGGGTAATGATAGGACAAGGGGAAACGGTTTTAAATTGGAAGAAAAAAAGATTCAGATTAGATCTCAGGAAGAAATTTTTGACTCTGAGGGTGGTGAGACACTGGAACAGGTTGCCCAGGGAAGTCGTGGATGCCCCATCCCTGGAAGTGTTCAAGGCCAGGCTGGATGGGGCTTTGAGCAACCTGCTCTGGTGGGAGGTGTCCCTGCCCATGGCAGGGGGGTTGGAACTCGATGATCTTTGAGGTCCCTTCCAACCCAAACCATTTTATGATTCTATGATTCTATAATTATGTATATATATGTAAAACGAAAGTGTAAGATCGGACTTCTGCAGTGGAGATGTGGGGATGAGCCCCCTGAGGTGCTGGTGGTGCCTAAGGAGGCATTGGGATGCTCCTCAGCACAGCCATCCCACCACGTGCCCAGGTCATTAAGGAAGTGTCTCCTCAACCACAGTAACATCTGGTAGGACACGAAGGAGCGTTTCTTTCGAAGAGCTCGCTGTGTGGCTCCTGCGCTCCCCCAAACCCAGCCCCAGGTGACGCCTCCCCCGTCTTGTGCTGAGGGGGTGCTCTGCCAGTGTCCTTCTGCTCAGAGCCATCCCTCTTCAGACACCACCCAACACCTCTGGGAACAGAGCTGACTTGGAATTTTTATCTAATAATAAGTTTTTATCTAATTATTAGTTTGCTAGCGAGCAGTGACTAGTACAGTCATTTTTGCAGGAAAATACTGGTTTTGATATAGATGTTTGTCAGAGTGGTTTCTGTAATCCAGAGCAGAGCTGGTGTTCAGGAGGCACCTGAGCCATCAGAGCTGTCAGCGTGGTGGCTGGAGATCAGGACCTGGAGGTGTTGGTGGACAGGAAGCTCAACATGAGCCAGCAACATGCCCTGGCAGCCCAGAAACCCTCCCCACCCTGGGCTGCATCCCCAGCCCCTTGACCAGCAGGGCGAGGGGGGGATTCCGCCCCTCTGCTCCTCTCTGGGGAGACCCCCCAGTGCTGCCTCCAGCTCTGGGGCCACCAACATCCCAAGGACATGGAGCTGTTGGAGTGGGGCCAGAGGAGGCCCTGGAGATGCTGGGAGGGCTGGAGCCCCTCTGCTGGGAGGGGGGGCTGAGAGAGTTGGGGGGGTTCAGCCTGGAGAAGAGAAGGCTCCGGGGAGACCTTGGAGCCCCTTCCAGTCCCTCAAGGGGTTCCAGGAAAGCTGGAGGGGATGGACTCTTGATGAGAGAGGGGAGTGATGGGAGGAGGGGGAAGGGTTTGACACTGCAAGAGGGGAGGTGGAGCTGAGCTGTGGGGAAGAAGTTGTTTGCTGTGAGGGTGGTGAGAGCCTGGCCCAGGTTGGCCAGAGAAGCTGTGGCTGCCCCATCCCTGGAGGGGTTCAAGGCCAGGTCGGAGGGGGCTTGGAGCAACCTGGTGTGGTGGGAGGTGTCCCTGCCCAGGGCAGGGGGTGGCACTGGATGGGCTTTAAGGTCCATTCCCACCCAAACCATTCTGTGCTGGTTCTGCCCAAGCTGTGGGGTGAAGCCTTTCCCACCCAAATTGTTCTGTGATGAGCTCTGCATGCGCTGGTTCTGCCCAAGCTGTGGGGTGAAGCCATGGGACGGGCAGGGACGGGATGAACAGGTTCACCCAGTGCCCACCACTCGCTGCGCGTCCGCCGGCTGCTGCTGGCCCTTCAGTGCTCTCTGTCCGTCTGTCTGTCTGTCCGTCTGTCTGTCTGTCCGTCTGTCTGCCCACACTGACCTGTTCTGCCTGTGCTCTTTGCTCCCGCAGAGCTGACCGGTCCAGGGTGCGACATCACTAAAGAAGCTGCTGCAGGATGAAAAGATGGCAGCGCGGCTGCTCGCACCACCAGGCCCTGATAGTTTTAAACCTTTCACTCCGGAGTCTCTGGCGAACATCGAGAAACACATCGCGGAGCTGAAGAAGAAGAAGCAGCGCCCAAAGCAAGACAGCAGCCACCGGGACGACGATGAAGACAGCAAACCAAAACCAAACAGTGACCTTGAGGCGGGGAAGAATTTGCCTTTCATCTACGGGGACATCCCAAAAGGCCTGGTTGCTGTACCGCTGGAGGACTTTGACCCTTATTATATGACCCAGAAAGTGAGTCTGCAAGAAAGAAGTCACTAAACCGCCTTTTTCGTAGGAAATTGCAGGTTTGGGTGTGATTTGAGTGGAAGACAAAGAATGGAGTCTTTGGATGGGGCTTGTTTGTTTTGTCTTGTATTTTTCTTTGAGGTTTAACAGAGATGATGCGATCGATCTTTAAGCACCTGCTTGGATGGAGTTAGGAGAACAAGGTCTGGAAACTAAAAATACATGAAGTTGTGCTAATGTGCCAATTTTTTTAACCGTGAAGGCAATGAGAAGAATTTAATTGAGGGGTAACGGTAATGGTTTTATGTCTGTATTTCATTTCTTGCATGGAATTCATCTGAATTTGATCATTATGAAACAGTGGGATATAGAATCCTGACAAAACAGAAGTGAGATAAACTAACTAACTTTCATCGTGGTAATTTTTATTTTTAAAATATTTGCCTGTGGAATTAAGGTGATATGGCGGGAGGCATCTGTGATGAAGAAATGGTGTTGCGAGGGACTGGTGAGTGAGCAAAGGCTCTGCTGGAGATGGATGGGAGGGATCTTCTGCAGGTGAAAGAGGGAATAGCATGACCACTGATTTTCTCAGAAGGCTGGATGACTTAAAACTGAAGTTCTTTTCTGCTCTTTAATTTCATTGCTTGCTTTGATAGAAATTTAATTTTAATAGGCTGGCGTGATTGCCATCTGTAACTCTGGCTTGGCTGAGCCACTGGAGAAGCTGGAGTTTGACCATGTGTGTGACAGTGGTTGTGATGTGACCATTCCAAGCCTGGGTAGAAAGGCTGTCGTGGAAAATCGGCAAGTTGTCGTGGGTAACAAAATGTTTTGTGACTTTGTGTTGGGGCAGACGTTGCTTGCCACGCTCAGAAGTGATTCTGTGACTGGCAGGGTGTTATTCACGTGAAATCAACTGAGTTTGCTGCTGAGGCTGGGTGTAACTGAGCAGTTTATGGCTTGTTTGTTGTGTTGGTGGTGCCAGGAGCAGAGGTGCCAGCTCAGAACAGGACTCTGAGGGACAGGGATATGTGGTGGGTATGGGCAGGCTGGTGTTGAGGTGATGTTGTGCTGAAGGAGATGTGTGGGCAGCTGCTGTCACTGCTGAGAAGGCAGCCGACCTTATCCCTTAGAAATATTTTCTCTTTATTAAACAAAGATTTTCTCTTCATTACTGGCACTGCCTGGTGTGGGTGGGCTGTGGAAGGGAGACCTGCAGCTGGAGAGTGGTTCCCAGGCTCTCTCTGGTTGTGTGGCCTCTTGCACCCGACCGGAGAAGAAGTTGTGAGATGTCACTGCAGCCCCGAGCAGGAGGGCTTGGTGCCCTCTTGGTGGTCATGTAGTTGAAGGGATGTGGGAGAACTGGTCCCTACTCTTCCCAGCTCCAGCAGGAGAGCAGTGCTGCAGGGCAGTGGGCACTGCCAGCTCCTGGAGCACTAGGTAGAGGCTTTGTGGTTGTCTCGGTGTCCCACCAGAAGTCAGAGGCAGAGTTCCCCATTGGCCCTCATGCTTTATCAGTGTCCATATCTGCCTCCCAACACGGTGTGACAAGAGAGATGGGGGGGACTCTTGATGAGGGAGGGGAGCGATGGGAGGAGGGGGAAGGGTTTGACACTGAGAGAGGACAGATTGAGCTGAGATGTGGGGAAGAACTTGTTTGCTGTGAGGGTGGGGAGAGCCTGGCCCAGGTTGGCCAGAGAAGCTGTGGCTGCCCCATCCCTGGAGGGGTTCAAGGCCAGGTTGGAGATGGCTTGGAGCAACCTGGTGTGGTGGGAGGTGTCCCTGCCACGGTGGAATGAGATGAGGCTTCAAGGTCCTATCCAAGTCTAACTGTTCTGTGATTCTATCAATAAGTCTTTAATTTTAGAGAAAAATAAGCCACATTCCCAACTTTGAAGGCATCTGTCATGTCTCCAGAAGAGAGCCGTCTCTGCTGGCTCACTGTGTGGGGACACGAGCTCTCAGTGGAGCTGGAGCAGCTGCAGATGGAGGGGAAGGTTCTGGAGATGGGAGAGAAGCTCACACAGCCCTGCCAGCCTGGTGTTGCTCCTCGGGGAGGGGAGCTGTGCTCTCCCCATAAACACTGGATTAATGTTTTACTGGCCCCGTTCCTCCTGCATCCCCTTCGGCGTGGCCATGGCTTCGCCGTGTGCTCCTTCTCCGCTGCTTCAAATAGTGACTTCCCACAAAGAGGTTTTTTTAAGGCCATTAAAAAAGGCCCTTCTCTGAATCATCAGGAATTGTGAATCTGCTTGAATCATGGGAAGTTTTCCAAGTTTTTTTTCTTTTTTTTTCCTCCTCTCCAGCATTTGCCAGAAGGCTTTGCATCATAGCTCTGCTCTGCTCGAGCTGGACGTACAGCATGCATAGGAACAAATCAGCTGGTTGCTTTTCCTTGCAGTAGGACACAGTGATCTTGGATTATCTAAGGAAACTGAAACTGCATTTTGACTGAGAAGCTGAACTTTCCAGTGGCCTGATAACTGATATTTAAAGGAGAAACGGTGTGACCTAGAAACAGAACCATGGCTCAGGGAGTCAAAACTCCTGGGTTCGGAGCCCAACCCGGCAAGCGATGGTTTTGTCCCAGCTATTTCTCTTTTCCCTGCTGGGTTTTATTTTGCAGACTGGGAGTAATGACTCAGGAGAACCAGGAAAGTCCCTTTGCTCACAGGGAGCAGACTTTTGAGCTGATTTATCTCCTTTTTGTCTTTATCTAAGTACCAGAGAGAATTTTTTTCATGATTCTTTATTTTTTTTTTTTTGTGGATAGTAATCATCTTCTAGTTCCTGGCCTGAAGCACATGGGAGAAGCAGTACTGGCCCGTGGTATTTGTTGTGGAAACCTGGAACATTTCAATTTAAAAACCCCAAAGGCAGGTAATGTTTACATGTGCAAACAAAATTCAGGGAAGCTGCCTGTGTGAGTGTCCCTGGCAATGAAAGCGAAGCTGCTGGTTGCCCATAGCCTAGTTTTCCTTCAGTGTTTGCTTAAGCAAGAGGTAAGGACCATCATCCTCTCTTATTTCTGCAGCCGTATTAGTATTTCTATTTTTTAATGATTTTCCATCTTTTAGCCCTCTCTTCTCTTCCCTTTGTGGCCTGTGCTATCATTCCTGCTGTACAACATCCCTGTTCTTTCCCACGGAATGTGACTTTTGCAAGGTTGTGGTCATTCTCCTCAAGCAACTTCCATTTCACTTCATTCCTGGGAATCTCACACTTACTACAGAAGAAGGTAGAGGTGTTAGTGCTCCTGCAGGGACCCCATTTATGAGGCAGTAGAAAGTCCCTGAATATTCTGGGAATTGAGACCGTATCTAAGCCCAGGTGGATTGATCTCAAAGGAGGAGTCAGCCCTGCAGCTGCAGAAGACTCTCTGTGTGTCCTCATCACCTGAGGTGAGAGTGGGACTGTCCGAGGTCACCTATAGCTTGCAGATGAGCACCTGAGGATCTGCCCGGTGCGGATGTGCCAATGGAGTGACTTGCAGCTTCGTCAGGTCACATGCGCGGTTTGGAAAGGGGCCCTCGGGCCTGGAATGTCACCTTGGCTGCGTGGGACTGGGGAGGAGCAGGACTCTGAGGGCCCAGCTGGTGGGAGGCACGTCTAGATCCAGCATGTGCTTCCAGGAGCCTTCCCTGATGCCTTCTGTAGGGTGATCGGGTGGCCCCGCAAGGTCACAATGCTGTTAGTGGCGTTTGCATTTCAGTGAAGGCACCCAAACCATCTCAAAAATCAGCCTTTTATCCTTATTTCCAAAAGCTAATTACCTTTTCCAGGTCCTGTGTGTTTAATTTTATTTTTTCTTCCACTCCATCTCAGAGAGGGGGACAGGGGTGACTTGTCCATCTAATATCTTCTGCCTTCTGTGTTCCCTTTGCTGAACAGGACAGCAGATATAGACCTGTTGGAGCGGGGCCAGAGGAGGCCATGGAGATGCTGGGAGGGCTGGAGCCCCTCTGCTGGGAGGGGGGGCTGAGAGGGTTGGGGGGGTTCAGCCTGGAGAAGAGAAGGCTCCGGGGAGACCTTGGAGCCCCTTCCAGTCCCTCAAGGGGCTCCAGGAAAGCTGGGGGGGACTCTTGATGAGGGAGGGGAGCGATGGGAGGAGGGGGAAGGGTTTGACACTGAAAGAGGGGAGATGGAGCTGAGATGTGGGGAAGAAGTTCTTTGGTGGGAGGGAGGTGTCCCTGCCCAGGGTGGGGGGTTGATTTGTCACAGCAGAAGAGGGGAGTGTTCTCTCCCGTTCCTTCCTGGGGGTTGGGAGGCAGGGTGTCATGGAGCTGTTCCTGTTGTGTGGTTGTTGACCAGATGGCAGATGGGAGGGTGGGTTGTGTCCAGTCCCAGGCGTTGCTGTGGGGGTTCAGGGGGTGCTGAGCGTGGGACGGGCTGGGAGAGTCTCTGCTGCTGTCCCCAGCGTGGCTGCGTCCCACCGGGATGAGCAGGAGGAGGAGAATCGTTTCCACTGCTGAGGCAGAGCAGATTGCCTTACACAGGCAGACTGTGATGTCGCTAAAACTTAAAACCAGATCAGATTCTCAATACTGCATGTGGAACAATCTTTATATTTTTAAGATGTATCTTTCAGGAGTTTTTTGTTTGATACATCTCAAAAAATGTCAAGGATTTTTCCTACATTCGGCTTGAAACAAGAGATTAAAGCATCAGCAAAAGGTGGCAGATACTTTTTTTCCCTATAAGCTTTTGAGTGGTGAAGAAGAATAAGTTACAAAGAAAGAATAAGGTTATACCCTTTTAGGGAGGATGTAAAAATAAATACTGAATAACGTGGTTTCTGTATTAGGAAGTACACCTCTATGAGCCAAAACAGACTTGAAAAATATTTTGCATTGACGTTTAATTCTGTATGTACTTGCTCAGCCTACAGGGTGCCAGAGTTCCCTGTAAATTAATTTTGAAAATAGCTATGTTAAAGCAACTTGCTCGGGGTGTCATCAGAAAGCCGTCGCTCTCCCCTGCTCGGCGCTGAGCGCGGCAGCCGTCACTTACCGCGGTGGGAACAGGGTTCCATATGTTCTTAGGCTGTTCATAAAGCTGTTTTCTTCTGAAGTCTCCTGCCCACTCCTCCTCGCTTTTCAGCCATTACAGAAATGCTCGATGTAAAAGCTGCACGAAGCAAAGGGGTTTGAAACCATCATGGAGCTGGAATGCTTTTTGCCACGGCCGGGTCAGCTCTCACGCTCTCCAGCTCAGCCTCTCTAATGCTCTACTTTGCAAACTGGCTTAGAGAAGACTTTTATGATCTTCTTTTTAAAGGTGAACTATTTCTAGGCTTTCTGTAAAGCGTAGGTTCCCGGCCAACGTTAGAAAAAACTAAAGTGGCCAGAGCCTTTTTCACAAGCCTTTAACAACAAGCTGAGACCTCTGGAGGAGCACCCAGCCTTCCTCGCTCAGAAGGCGACTGCAAAACCCGTTCCCCAGGTATCGCCTTTCTCTGAGCTTCAAGCTTTGCCTCAGCAGATCTTAAAAGGTCTTAAGGATGTTCTTGGAGCTCCACCAGCAAACGTTTTAAGAGCATGCAGCCATTTTGAAATTGAGTTTTAATATGTCAGCAGCATAAAGAAAAACTAAGATAAAATTGCCAAACAGTTCTTGGCTTTTGCGCTCCTTTTTCTATTGCCAAGGCCAAGCAGAGATCTACCCAGGGTTTGATGGGACACACAGGGGAACTGGAGCAGTGGGAACTGTTGGAATCGATGGGTGTACGGCACCTGGCTGGGGTTTGGGTTGTGCCGAGAGGCCGAGCTGTGGTGGGCGTCGTGGGGAGAAGTTCAACAAGCGTTACGGTCTGGAGGGGTTCAAGGCCAGGCTGGATGGGGCTTGGAGCAACCTGGTCTGGTGGGAGGTGTCCCTGCCCAGGGCAGGGGGGTTGGAACTTGATGATCTTTAAGGTCCCTTCCAACTCTAACCATTCTATGATTCTATGAAAGAGAAACCTGGGCAGAGCGTGGAAGAGAAGAGAAGACAAGGAGCTGCCCCGTGTTAGGCCATGTCACAAGTGACGGACCAAGCTGGCCAGCAGAACATAGAGTTTGTGTTTGGTGGGCGATTGCCCTGATTGTCAGACGAGACAGCCCATATTGCAACTGGGAACACCACATTTCTGGGTTGATCCCTATTGAAAATATATGTTTCCATGTAACCTTGCAGTGTGCCAGGGCAGGTGGTCTCTGACCCCCCCATACACCTTCTCCATCCGAGTCCGGCTTGCTCTTCTAGTGCAGGTCTAGAGCCTTTGGGTTGGTTTCCATCTTACATGCACGTTCCTGTGTGGCCCTGTGAAGAACGATGTTACTGCTGCCTTGCTGGGCTCTGTCTGAGCAAACCATCAGGTTCCTGCACGGTCATTTCTCCCATGTAGAAATAGAGACATGGTCATAGAATCACAGACTGGTTTGGGTGGGAATGGACCTTAAAGCCATCCAGTGCCACCACCTGGCACCACAGGACACCTCCCACCAGCCCAGGTTGCTCCAAGCCCCCCCCAACCTGGCCTTGAACCCCTTCAGGGATGGGGCAGCCACAGCTTCTCTGGGCAACCTGGGCCAGGCTCTCACCACCCAGCCCAGGGTGGGGGTCTTTCTGGGCTGCCAGGGCATGTTGCTGGCTCATGTTGAGCTTCCTGTCCACCAACACTCCCAAGTCCAGCTCCTCAGGGTTGCTCTGCATTCCGTGCCCAGCCTGTCTTTGTGCTTGGGATTGCTGTGACCCGGGTGCAGGACCTTGCCCTTGGCCTGGCTGAACCTCATGAGGTTGGCATGTTCTCACCTCTCCAGCCTATCCCCATCCCTCTGGATGGCATCCTCTCCCTCCAGCTTCTTGACCACTGCACACAGCTTGGTGTCATCAGCAAGTTGACCACTGCACACAGCTTGGTGTCAGCAAACTTGCTGTGGTGCCCTCAATCCCACTGTCCATGTTGCCCGTAAAGATGTTGAACTGACCCCTGAGGAACCCACTTGTCACTAGTTTGCACTTGGACGTGGGGCCCTTTACCCCAACCCTTTGAGTGCGGCCATCCAGCCAGTTCCTTATCCATAATGAAACTGAGCTTCCTGCTTGTTTGCACTTGGACGTGGGGCCCTTTGCCCCAACCCTTTGAGTGCGACCATCCAGCCAGTTCCTTATCCATAATGAAACTGGGCTTCCTCATGGAACCATCGTGTGGGGGTTTTGGGGAATTTCTGTCTTTGTCCAGCTCAGTTGTTTCAAAGATTTCATTGCTTAAAATCTGCGGCAGAGTTGAGGGCTCAGCATTGTGCTGGGGTCAGCGCTGGAGCCTGTGAGTGTCCCCCGGCCGTGGGTGTCCTGCCCCAAATGCTCTGCAGGGAACGGTGAAAGGGGATTTAAAGATTAAGTGATGTGTGAGTCTTGAAAAGGTGGTGGTGCCAGGGAAGGAGGGACAGCTGGCTCTTAAAATCGCGTGGCACTGGAGCCCCTCTGTAACCTGCGATTCTGAAAAGCTCACAGCCTTTTAGAACATCGCTACACGCCAAGGTAATCTGCTCGTTAATTCTTGCTGCAGCATCTGAAGAGCTGTCTGGGGTTGTCTTGAAAGTGCTTTTGTTGGGAGGTGCATTAGTGGTTCTGGTAACTAATCTTTCTCGCTCCGTGCTGCACCACAATCTGACTTTGATTTCCTTCGCAAATAATTTACTGCTCAATGGTCTAATTTAGCCGAAGGAGCTAAAATCCATTGTTTCACTTACTAGGAGGGAAATGACAAATTTCATGAGTGAGTCCCCCGGGGAAGCACGGTGACGGTGTTGGCAGAGAGCCCTCGTGGGTTCCTGCTGCCGGGGTGGGCTGGAGCCTCTCTCTGTCCCTTGGCCTCCCTGGCCCCGCCACGTCCTGCGGGGAACGGGAGAGCGGGGCCAGGAAAGGGCTCCGGCTTCTCACTGCCCATAAATCTGCTCCTTCCCTCCCGGCCCAGCCGTCGGTGCACGGAGTGTGTGGGTGTCGAGCAGCTCCAATCCCTTCTTCCCAGGGGGCTGCGGGTACCTCCTGTGTTTTAGGGATGGAGAGCGGAGACCGATTCCGCCTCACCTCAACGTGATTTCTTCCACGGGTTCTGTATAAAGTAGCGGCCCTTATTATCTCCCTAATTAAAGGGGAGGAGAGCACGTGGCTGTGCCTGGAGCTGGCACAGAGAGGTGGGATGTGCTCAGTGTTGTCCCCACACGGGGACGCGGGTGTCTGGCCGGGGGGGGACTCTGCTGGGACATCTTCTTCCTGATGACCTGTGTGGTGGGTGGAAATATTTGCCAGCCTTTTGATTTAGCAGCAATTCAGATTTTTTAACTATTCGAGGTAGATCAAGAGTTAAGTTTTAGCAGCACTTAATCATTAACCAGTTTAAGGATTTACAAGGTGATTTAAAAAAATAATTGAACAGCGACTTAGAGGTTCGAAGATGGCCAGGTTCACACCAGCTTACTCTCAGGTGCCCCTGGTCACTACGTACACACACAGGAACACACAAGCACACAACACACAAGAGGTCACTCACACACCTACACCCGAGTTTTAACTATTAGGACTGAAGGTCCCTTCACAATGAGTGACTTCAGACAGTCGAAGGGCCCCCTTTTTACACACCCACGGACAAATGTTTGGATCCAGTGAGGGATGAGAACGTCCACACGTGTCAGAGCTGGTGTGTGCGTGGGGCAGTGGGGGAGCGAGATGCCGTGGGGTGCAACCTCCCTCTTCGAGTTTGGAGCAAACTCTCACACTTGATGGGCCATCACTGGGACTCGATGGGACTCGTGGGCTTGACTTGCCCTGGCTCTTCAGTCTCCGAGGTGTTTGCCTGAGTGGCTCCTGGCTCGGGGGAGGTGCTGGCCACGGCCCGCTGCCAGCCAGGAGGGCCGAGAGGGTCCCGCTGGAATCCCTGTTGTAGGATCCCAGGTAATTCAGTCCTCGGGTGTTTTTCCCCTCTGGCCCAACTCGGACAATGAAACATTCTGGTACTTTCAGATTAGATCTCAGGAAGAAATTTTTTACTATGAGGGTGGTGAGGCACTGGAACAGGTTGCCCAGGGAAGTTGTGGATGCCCCATCCCTGGAAGTGTTCAAGGCCAGGCTGGATGGGGCCTTGAGCAACCTGCTCTAGTGGAGGTGTCCCTGCCCAGGGCAGGGGGGTTGGAACTCGATGATCTTTGAGGTCCCTTCCAACCCTAACCATCCTATGATTCTACTTTCCACCAGTTGTGCAAGTCTGGAACTTGTTGGATCTGCAAGTTCTGGTGTCACCTGCGTTGGGCCGTGCCTTGGTGTAGATGTGGCGCTGTCGGAGGGGACAGTCCCTGTGACGGGGGAGCGGGAGCCCGGCCATTCAGGGGGTGCCCTGGGCCTTCACCATCCCCTGGGGTGGGATGTGGCCCAGGGATGGGGCCTCACACCAAGCACTGAGTGGCCAAAAAAGTGGGGGGTCGCACCCCATGACCTGCCCATGTCTTCGTGCTGGGGAGGTGCTGCCCGGCAGGGCCGGGCCAGGCCGGAGATGGGGCTCCATGGCTGGTCCCTCTCCTGCCTGTGCTCCTCGGCGGCCCCGGCCCCGCTCGGTGTCTGTGGGTCAGGGATAATGGCGCTGAAGTCCCTCTCAGAGGGGAGATCTCCCCTCTGCCCTGTCTGAGGTGTCTGGGAAACACACAGCTTGGAGTGGAATTACTCCCGTTGTACCGGTAGGTATGTTTTACCCTCATGGGAACTTCGTCAAGGAGATTGTTCTTTTAAAAAAACAGAAAATGCTATTTTTTACCATGGAAGTTGTTCATCTTTTCTTGTACGATTCATACTTCGATTTTCATGCATTAACCCTCTCTCTTTCTCTCTCTCTCTCTGCCTTTGTCTCTCTACAGACCTTTGTAGTACTAAACAGAGGGAAAACACTCTTCCGATTTAGTGCCACACCTGCCTTGTACATTTTAAGTCCTTTTAATCTGTTTAGAAGAATAGCTATTAAAATTTTGATACATTCATATCCTTTTTACTACTGAGTTATTTTTGCTTTTGTATATTCATTGAAAACTCTCTTACCTATTGTCTTATTGCTCTATTCTAACGAACTCTGCACCTGGTGAACTCGGATTGGTCTCAGAGCAGACACAAAAATGTGGGTTTTTTGAATGAAAAAGCATGCTCCTTTGGATACATCCAATCAAGTAAACAGTATGTTTATTTTTCCTGCTAAATTGCACCTATCTCTGTTCTTCCATTGGTGCACAGAGACTGCTACACTTTGGGACAGACGTGGGTTAAGGTTGTACCTCACATGAAGAGGGGTTGAGCTTTAACTGGCTGCTAAACTGGTGAAATAGAATTAGTATCCGGAGAAGGAGCCAAAGATACCTTATATGTGATCAGACGCTGACTAATTTCTTGCTCTTTTGGTATCTCTCAAACTCCCTTCTCCTGGCGAGGCTGCCCCAGAGTGTCCCACTGCCGGGCTCCAGGAGGCTCTGGCAGCTTCGGGAGCATCATCTGCCTGGGTTATTAGGAGAGGGGAAAAAAGTAGTGTATTGGGTGAGCTGCTTTGCCCTGTTTATTTATTTATTTATTTTTAGAAAGCAGCTCTAAAAGGAAAACATGTTCATTTGTTGCTTTAGAGGCTTCAATATCCATCTATCCTGCTTCTCATCTGAAGTAAAAGCTTTTCTATCTTCTCAAACTCAATTTGGGACCTGAGGCTGGAAAGGTTTTCCGTAGCTCATGTCTCTCATCCTGCAGGCACAGAGGGAGCCCAGATGTTTGGGAAGATCCATAGGGTTTTCTCCAAGCTAAATCCTGGGTGCCGATGGAGTGCAACGCTGCTTTCTGTCAGATGTATTGGCAGACAACCTATTTTGATGTTGCTGAATAGATAGAGTTATTTAGGGAGACATTTTCATTTAGGCATGTGATTTTTGAATTGCTAAGACATACCTGAAAATATAAAATAAATTGAATGCTGATGTAAGAATACTATTTATATATACTCGCCCTGCTCCTATTCCCCATGGCTGGTGGCAGGACCTTGGCTGCTGTTTGCAGTCCCCAGAGAATAGACTGGAAATGGCTGATTTTCACTGCTGTATGGTGATGGTTTGGGAGCCGCCGGGGGGGGGGATGTGAAGAGCCACCCTTGTGTCCCTTTGATCCTTGACTTTGTTCCACAGTATTTAGCATGATCATTATGTGCACTATTTTGACCAACTGTGTATTCATGACTTTTAGTAACCCGCCCGAATGGTCGAAGAATGTGGAGTAAGTAATGCTTCTTGTGTTTTTAAGAATCTCACCGAATGTTGTTTTTCTTCTATTGGCAAATCTGTTCCCTCTCATGCATGAGTTTGCATGAATATGAATTGTCTTTTATATCCACCCTGCTTAGACAAAAGTGTTTGTAATTCATCTTTTTTCATTACTGCAGTAACATTTTTACAAACGTCTCAGTGCAGCTCTCTCTCTCCCCACCCCAGGTATACATTCACTGGTATTTATACATTTGAATCACTTGTGAAAATTATTGCCAGAGGTTTCTGTATAGACGGCTTTACTTTCCTACGAGATCCATGGAACTGGCTAGATTTCAGTGTGATCATGATGGCGTAAGTTGTGTTTTCAGATTATTTCAGGGATTTGTGGCATGCTGGGAAGGGGTGAGACCTTAGGAGGAGGGTGGGTGTATAAGGGAAAAGTAACTCAAGGAAAACTTAAGCGAATCCCCAAAAGATTTCTTGCAAAAGAAAGCTTTAGCCTGACACGGAGTCTCAGATCTAAAATGCAGCTCCATGGAGTTAAGTAAAGTTGCTGCTGCAAAAAGAATGATTTTCAGAAAACTGCCTTTACTAATATAATACTTAATAATCGTGCCTGGCATTTTAGGTTGCTCCCGTGCCAGAGTGGCAGCTTGTTCTGTTAAGTGCAGGACGAGGAGCCATTTTTATTATATATTCTCTACCCCTCCTGAGGCTCACATCCGAACATTTCCTGGGGTGAGACTTCACGTTGAACAGTCATTAATTAACCCATTTCCCAGGGAGGGGCAGTGTCGGGAAAGGAGAGACTTCATTGTCCTTCCTCGTTCTTTTCCCTCGTGCCGGATCAGCCAACGTGGGTCGGATGCGGAGGGTTCCTGGGGGTGCCCGAGCTCAGAGCTCACCGGGAGATGCACGCTGGGTTTCTGGGGTTTTTCCTTCTCGGCTTCTGCTGGCCATTGCTTGGGCTGGGGAACACCAGGGTACAGCACCCACAGCCCCAGTTGCCGCTGGAAAAGATGATTATTGTTTTTTTTTCCTCTTTACATTAGTTTTTGGGATATTGCACGTGTGTGTGTTTGGGCTCCTGTGGTCAGCACCGGCCAGTGGCAACTGAGGGGTCAGGAGGGCTCAGGAGCCTAATTTTCAGGGGGTCGGAGAAAATTAATTGTAGTAAAATGCTTTAATCATATAAAATGCCTTAATCATATAAAATGCCTTTTTTTTGGGCTGGATTCTGTACCCAAGACTGTTGGTTTTTTGGGGCTGGATTCTGTACCCAAGACTGTTGGTTTTCCTGAGTTTTGGCTCTTTTTCCTACTTGCCTTTTAGTTGTGTATTTAAATAATATGCAAAGAGTTGGATGTTGTACACAAAAGGCAAATAGCGGGTTGCTCGATGGCACCAACACCAGTTTGACTCTGGATTGGCTTCTGCGTTACTGAAATCCCACTTTTTTTGTTTTATGAAGCACTTTTGGTGCCTTTCTGCACCTGGAGGAATCTTGAATGTTGTGCATTTTGTTGCTTTTTTTCGTACCGTGTTTCTCCCCAGACAGCACAGAGGAAACAGTCTAAGTTGGGGTAAAATCTAACTCGGTGAACCTCGCACTAAGCCTCTCATCCTCCCTGTATCCCAGGTTTATCCCCGCGTGCGATGGGGATAATCATCCCGACCTGTGGCTCACAGACAGGTAGTAAAGCACAAAGGATTAAAATAAAGGATGCTAATCAGAGTAGAAGATGACCGTGCTTTATTAAAAACATGAAGCGAGGCGAATATACCTGAAAGCACGGACCTGAGGTGATGTCACCGATCTCCCCACATATTTGGCAGTTTTATAATTACCATCTTATGTAGAGATAGCACTGCATTTTCCAGTCCTGTGCAGGTGAGGACACAGGTATCTGAGCGTGCGCCTGGACAAGCTGGCTGCAGCGTGGAGAGACTTAAACTGTGTTTTGGCTCTGAAATTTTCTGTCTCTCCCTCTTCTAAGTGCCAATTCTAAAGCGTTTTAAATGACCAGCTGTTTCCTACAAGCAGACAGCTATATGCAAAGGAAGGTGACCCCAACGGTGCCATTAACTCTGGTTTAATTCTGCAGGTATATAACAGAGTTTGTAAACCTAGGCAATGTTTCAGCTCTGCGCACTTTCAGGGTTCTGAGAGCTTTGAAAACTATTTCTGTAATTCCAGGTAAGGCGGCCTCCGGTTGGTGTTAGCTGTCGGGTGCAGGCCCTGTGAGTGATGTACTGCTTTGTCTTGTAGTTGGTGTTTTATTTTGGTGTGTGTATTGTCATTGTGTTTTTTGTGTGTGACCTCCCTCATTGCAGATATGTCACAGAGTTTGTGGACCTTGGGAATGTCTCAGCATTGAGAACTTTCAGAGTTCTCCGAGCTTTGAAAACTATCTCTGTTATTCCAGGTGAGAACCATTACGCATTAAAGGCTCGTCTTGCGTGTACCTTTCCATATCTCCCCTCCCGTCCCGCACTGCTTATTTCTCTGAAATGGCACTGGGATGTTTTTGATGGGCTTTGCAGTCTGTATAAACAGAGCAGTTTGAAATTAAGGCTTCTGGGCCATCAAATTACGGGACAAACAGCCTGCTGTTCCCTACTCCTTTATCCCTGTGCTTGCACGTGCCCAGCTGTGCTCTGAAGTGAGCGTTCAGCCTCAAGCTTACTTCTGGAGCGTAGATTGAGCTGAGATCTCAGGGAGAAGTTCTTTGGTGTGAGGGTGGTCAGAGCCTGGCCCAGGTTGGCCAGAGAAGCTGTGGCTGCCCCATCCCTGGAGGGGTTCAAGGCCAGGTTGGACGGGGTTTGGAGCAACCTGGTGTGGTGGGAGGTGTCCCTGCCCAGGGCAGGGGGTAGAATGAGTTGATCTTTAATGTCCCATCCACCCCAAACCGTCTCATGACTCTATGAATGAAGGATCAGGCACTCCCTTCCTCCTCAGGCTGAGTGGTTTCTTGCTCAGCGGAGTCATCCCATTATCCTCAGTGTTTCTAGAGCTGGTTTAGGGAGCAAATGAGCAAAACCCAACCAAGATGAAAACATTCCTGCGTGAAGCTACTTCAGTTACTTGGAGTCAGATGGAATCTGGGCTGGTTGTCTTCTGGGTAACAAGAAGATGCTTGCCTCCCGTCTTCAGAAAGGGCTGATGCTCATTTTGAGATAGACTCAGCTAAATGGAGCTTTGGCACTACCAGCTTTTGCATTTCTGTGTTGTAGTGGAGCCAGTTGCCAGCTGTCAGTGCCACAGTGTGTGGCCCAGAGCTGTGCCCTGCCCATGCCATGTCCCCCTGAGCTGGGCTTTGCAGGACCATCACTTACGAAGCTGCTTTTAGACTCTAACCCCATCTGGGAGTCAGAGGGTGAGCAACGGCCCCTCCTTTATGGTACAAGACCACAGAGGTGTTGAGATTCTGTGATTCTGAGCCTGAATTCTTGTGCCATAAAGTCTTGTGCGGATGATTACTCAAAAATGTCCCTAATTTTAAGGCCAAGCTCAAGGCTCAGTTTTCATGGGCACTGAAGCAACTGTGGCTTTCCAGTGGTAAGGTGCTGGACCTGTTTCAAGGTGGGCACCCAAAGTAATCACTGGATGAGCTTTGGTCTTCTATTTCTTTGTGCTTTGTTTCCTGACGTGTTAACTGATAACGTTCTTTTGCTTTCTCAGGCTACACTTGTACATACGTTTGCCAGAAAAGAGCCTGTGGAGCTGTAGGGGCCGTCACTTTTGTCCCTGTTGCAGACTGCCAAACCCATCAGCTGTCCATGGCTGTTGTGCATGATGTTCTTAATGGCACCCGCTTCCCTTGCACCGAATGAGAGAATGGCTCGAGTAATGTCCTTTCTTAGCCTTCCCCAACGTTTGTGCACACACTGAGAGCCAAGGCTGTTTGGTGACTGCCGTGGGCAGTGTGCTAGGGGACCCCGGGCACGGTTGCGGGTCGGTCAGCCTGCTGCAGGCACTCACTGCCTTGCTTGAGGAAAAGCATCCGGGTTAAAATGGGTTTCCTGTGCGTTTTTGCTTTCGTCATGGTAGCAAAGTGGAGATGATGCAACTTTAAGGAGCTGGTTACTGACGGTGTGGCAGCATGCCTTGTCTTCCTGGGGAAAGGAGCAGAACGGTGCCCTTCTGTGTCGTTCTCTCCGTGCTCAAAACTAACAGACTCTTCCTTTTATTCCAAATGACGGCAGGGGGGAGGTCTGAGCCCTTCTCAATTCAGTGCAGCCCTGCTTTTTATTAACGGGCTGGTTTGCTGCACACTTTTATTAAATGGGATCTAGTCTGAGCACTGGACACAGTGAATGCACCGCGGCTGGAACCATAAATGGCAAAACTGGGGTTATTGGTACTGGTTTTGCTCTGGGATAGGATTGCCCCAGCTGGGTCCAGCACAAACCTTGCTCCTCTCTCCGTTTTCTGACTGACAATGTGACAAAGCTTTTGTGTAATTAGCCTTTTGGGTTATTGAATCTGAACTTAGGCACAGAGCGCTCTTTATGGGCTGTAGTGCCATCACGTCTGGAGGAAGAAGTGATTTTTGGAATACACTTAAAAATACAAAGTGGTGCCCCTTCTGCTCCAGCGCGTGTGATGCAATGGGAATTCTAACACTGTGCTGAGAAACTCATCTTAGTGTTACAAGAGTGCTAACTACATCTTCTATTCATCTATCTAACTGGAGTTATCCCCAGTGTCTTTTCTAGACAAGATAAAAGTGGGAAATATTACCAGAATATGACAAAATTCCAGGCAGGTCGAGGGTCTGTGTGAATTTTTGTGGCAGGAGTAGACTGTGGCACCTGGGAGTTTAAACACCAAAGTATTGCTTCCGTGGTATGGCCTGGCAGACCATGTTTAACTCTGCGCTGCTCTAAAGATATTTATTTTTTATTGGCACTTGAGTGATTGGTATTTTAATTGCCCAGTGCCATCGGTCCCGTGCGTGAACGGGGCAGGAGGGCAGTGGCTCCGGTGGGTTTGTCCCCCCGCTGCCGGTGCCTCCTCCTGGTGCGACCCTCGAGGGGGAAGCACAGACCCTGGGGTGCCAAAGTGGGGTCAGGGGGCTCTGGGAGCTCGGGGGGCTGCCTGTGCAGCCCAATGGCCCCCCAAAATGGGACCAGCCATTTGTCTGCCAGAACAAACAGCAAAGAACCGCCTCGTGCTGGAGCAGGGCTTTGGCCTTGATGAAAAGTTTTGAAGATCGAAGTGAAAGATGTTTTAAAAAGTTATTCTTCCATAAGAATTCCTTTTTATTTATGTATTTTTGAATTGCCTTGTGCTGGAGCAGCCCTTTGGCCTTGATGAAAAGTTTTGAAGACCGAAGTAAAAGATGTTTTAAAAAGTTATTCTTCCATGAGAATTCCTTTTTATTTATGTATTTTTGAATCTTTTTGTTCCTGATGCAGCTCAACCCTCTGTTGGTATAGAAGGGTTTCCTGTCAGAGGTTTATTGCAGAATGCTCCCGTGGCCTCAGCCACGGCCTCGGATCTCAGTAGCCCCAAATTCAGCTGGAGCTGTGATTTTTATTTTTCCCCCCTCCTTCCTCCCTTCAGCCTGCTCCACTGCTCACTCGTCAGTGCAGGATCATCCTGCCTGACCTCAGAAAGGCTGATGAAAGGGCCCGGATTCTGTATGGTTTCTGCAGCCCAGACTCTGTTTCCCGACAGCAGGAATGCTGCCTTCCTCCCCCGGCCCTCGGGGGGTTCCTCTTACAGCCCAGACCAGTTTGGAGGACCAGCAGGGTTCCTGGCTTGTGCCTGGGCTCGTCTGGTCCCTGAGCCCTGTCCTTTACTGGTGCCGATGGCCTTGGTGGAGCCCCAGGAGCTGGCCCCAGGGGTACAGCCCTGCCCGTGACAAACCCTCCTCTGAGTGAGGGGTCCAGCTCCCGCAGGGCACGGGGAAGCGCTGGATCAGCTCAGTTCAGCAGTGGGAGCTTCAGGTGCAGGCAGGTCGAAAGGGATTTGATCTTGTTGCAGTTTGTGCTGATGAGCCAGGCTTCCCCGCTGCGGAGGTTTGGAGCAGAACACCCAAATTTAACAGCTCTGTCCAGACAAACCCTCCCATGGCAGTGCCTCCCCCCAGGCACCAGCGTTTCTCCACGATGAACGCTGGTGTCTTGTTTTGTTCTAACTATTGCTGGTTCACCATCAAAACCAGTGAGCTTGGGTCATCCAGCACCTTCCTTGTCCCAGTGGTGGTCCCCAGGAAAACAGGTCCCCCGTTTCATGGCAGCAGTCTCTTGCCAGCCTGTCGCGGTTGTCAGGTACTGTCTGTATTGGAATTTTTGGTCTTTTCATTCTACAGGAGTGATTTCTAGTCTTCTTTTCTTCTCTGCAGGCCTGAAGACCATTGTGGGTGCCCTAATTCAGTCTGTGAAGAAGCTGTCGGATGTAATGATCTTGACAGTGTTTTGTCTCAGTGTCTTTGCTCTCATCGGGTTGCAGCTCTTTATGGGCAATTTAAGGAACAAATGTGTAATATGGCCAATTAACGTGAACGAGACTTTCCTGGATAACGGCTCGAAGGGCTTTGACTGGGAGGAATACACCAACAATATGTGTAGGTATTTCTGCAGTGATACTCCCTAAAACCTTAATGACTTAATGCTGCTGACCAGGGTTTCTGACATGGCTTATAACGTAGCATGTCCAGCTTTGGGCAGAAAAAAAACCTTTGCTCAGATACTTTTTGTTTTTTTGGAAACTTGGCTTTGTTAAGGTGTTTCTAGTTGGGTCTTCACTGTGCTCTTTTTAGCTAAATACTTTGTTAAAAATACTCCCCCCTCGCCCCCCGCCCTGTTTCTGATTAAAAACTATTTAAATACGGTAAAAGGGAAGGAACTGCCCATTTAAATCCCTGGTCTTAGTGTCAGGACCTTTGCCAAGTTCTGCTGGTTCTCCAGCGAAGGCCTGGGAAGCTGTTGGTACCTGTCTCTGCTTTGCAGCATCCTCTGGCACTGGCTGGAAACGATGCTGAAGAATCATTTCAGAGCTGGAAATGATGCTGCGGAGGATCAAGGAACCAGCCTCCAAGTTTTTGTAACTTAATTTCTTCCTCCCTTCTCACTTGGAGCTTCTCAGCTGTGCAGTCAGCTCATTTTACATTTTTATTCATAACGCTGTACTGACTTCCAGAAAGGTGTTTAAACTCAGGCACGGTTAGTGGGGTTAATGTTATTTAAAGCTGAGTTAGTTAACTGATAAATTTATCAGTTGGGGATCTGGAGGGATGCTCAGGGAAGGTTTTTGTGGCGCTATAGTGTATTAAATCCTCTAACTCCATATGTGTGTGCATGTAATCTTTTCTTTTTCATCTTCTTCAGCAAATTTTTACATAATTCCTGGCGCCCCTGATCCTTTGCTCTGTGGTAACAGCTCGGATGCAGGGTGAGTGTTGGTCTTTATTCAAAGCAGAGACTAATCCCCGTTGGTGTTGGCTAACGATGGCGAAACCTTTGGGATGTTTCCTGTTGCTTCCTTTGTCGGTTCTGGTGTTACTTGCCATGTAAAAGGCTTCACGTTTTTTAATCTAATTATTAATCCATTGTTACTATCTGTTTGACTGATATAATGTAAACTGACATTTTCTGCGTCCTCTCAGGAGGCAGGTACATCTGATGGTGGTCACTAGTGGCATTATTTCCCTCTGAGTGCAGTCACAAGTCACCAGAGGAGGGGGGGAGGGAGGTTCAGAAATGGAAAATTTCCATGTCCTATTGGTTCCAACTGGTTTTTCAGCCAGTCCTTCAGCTCTGAAATACGTCTTTCTGGCTGACATTGGGTGAAAAGCCACACTTTGCCACATCTTGTTTCCATGGGACAAAGCAAACGGGGCTTTTCCAAGATCATCTCTGTCGGTCTCCTTCTCTGCTCTCCTTACCCGACGTGGGGAGCAGAAGGCACACTGTGTGGTGGGAGGGTTGTGAAAATCTCCATGAAAACGGTTAATTGCGTGTTGTCTTAATTGCTCTGTCCCTTTCTCTGCCTCTGTGCCCTGAAATGCTGTGTCCCTTTGGCAGCCAATGTCCGGAGGGTTACACGTGCATGAAAGCAGGACGGAACCCCAACTACGGTTACACGAGCTTTGACACTTTCAGCTGGGCTTTCCTGGCTTTATTTCGCCTTATGACTCAGGACTTCTGGGAAAACTTGTATCAATTGGTAAGTAAAGACTTCACTTGGGTGTTAATACGAGATGAGAATTTGGGGACAATGCAGGAAAGGAAAACGTGTCAAGCCTTATTATATTCCTCCTGCCTGAAAGAGCAGCTGGAAGCAGAGCGGTGCAGCGAGGTGGTGAGTGATGAGGAGGAAGAGGATGTCACCAGGAAGCAGGTGTTGGACCCTGGAGCTCAGGAGGGACAGCAGGTCCTCAGGGTGCCCCGTGGCTGAGCTGTGAATGAATTCTGGAAGGATCTGACCTGCAGGAGATGGCTCATGGCAAGGGGTTGGACTAGGTGACCTTTAAAGGTCCCTTCTAACCCAAACCATCCTGTGATTCTGTGGTTGTGAGAGGTTCAGCTCCACCCTCAGAAGCTGCTGGGGTGCTTTGGAGGGCAGAGTGTTTCCTCGTAACCGGAGGACGGTTTGGGGACCTTGCTGAAATGGCTTTTCTGTTTGGTTTGAAGGGAGTCTCAGCATTGAGTTTCACACTGTACTTGTGAATCTTTCAGTTTGCATCCGTTGGATGTTCCCTTAAGAGAAGAGGAGGGATGACACCTTTTGTTTTTTATGGCCTAATGGATGAGCAGTGTCTTAGTGCTTTGCAGGGGAAGTGCTGAGATGTTAAATATTCAGCACCGCTATATTTTCTTAGAAACGTTCAGGTCAAGAAACTTGGGATCAGTTCCCCTATCAGGTGTCACTCTGAAATTGCTTTCCACTTTCCTTTTCTCTTCCCTCTGCCCTGCTCCTCTTCTTCCAGACCTTACGAGCAGCAGGAAAAACCTACATGATCTTCTTTGTCTTGGTGATCTTTGTGGGATCGTTCTACCTGGTCAATCTCATTTTGGCTGTGGTGGCCATGGCTTATGAAGAGCAGAACCAGGCCACGCTGGAGGAGGCAGAGCAGAAAGAGGCAGAATTTAAGGCCATGTTGGAGCAACTGAAAAAGCAGCAGGAAGAAGCACAGGTGAGTGTTCCGATGGTGTGGGGTTTGATGCATTTACATATTTTAAGATTTTTAGCCCGCTATTACAGAGCAGTGATGTATAACCAGAAAATGCAGCAGTGCCCTGGCATCACGTCCTCTGCTGACTGGGGTGGCGTCATTCCTTCTCTCTTCCTGGCTGCTGCTCAAGCTTGCTGTGTTTATTTTGTATCAGAAAACTGCCTTCTGTTAAGGAATTTTTAAATGATCCCAGAATTTCTAGTTAATTGTGAGAATATCTTTGCAAGACGGACAAGCACAGGTTTGTCAGTCCTTTACCAAATGTTTATAAACAAAGCTGAGGGACTGAGAGAGATCACTCTACCTGCAAAAGTTGACTGTAAAAATGTATACAAGTCCTGGCTGCAAGTTTCTTCCAAGAGAAAGAATAAGCATCTCAGTCCTACCCCAAAGACCTGTGCTGTAGGCGTTAAGCCACACTTTTAAAGGAGAAAATGGAGTATTAATGACAGTAAGACCTGATTTATTTTCCTCCCCTCTTGCCTTCGCCCTCAGGCCGCTGCCATGGTCACTTCGGCAGGGACCGTCTCTGAGGATGCTGTGGAAGATGATGGTGGGGGGAGGATGTCTCGGAGCTCCTCTGAGATTTCCAAACTCAGTTCCAAGAGTGCCAAGGAGCGTCGAAACAGGAGGAAGAAGCGAAAGGACAAGGAACTGTCAGAAGGAGATGAGAAGTGTGACACTGAGAAGGTGTTCAAGTCCGAGTCTGAGGATGGCATGAGGAGGAAGGCATTTAGGCTGCCAGATAACAGGCTAGGAAGGAAGTTTTCCATCATGAACCAGGTAGTTTTCATTCCCTTTATATGTTTATGCTTGCTTGTAGTCGAGATAATATTCTAGTTTAGACCCTGATTAGCATGTCAAGGCAATCTGCCCACCATCATGAACTTGCAGCGGATCAGGAGGGCACTTACAGGCTAAGTTTACAGCCCTGCACGCACTTACCGTGGCGTAAGTTGCCCTGAGAGGAGGGAATCTCACCAGGAAATTTCTTTGCTGAGGTAGCTCTGCCAGCCAAGGGTGAACAACTCTTACGGTACCGCTGCTGCCGAGGTGGCGGTGGCTTGTGTAGACCTGGAGAGAGAGTGAAACCACGTTAGCAGCACTTGTCGGCACCGCGGCGCTTCCTTTCCCTGCTCTTCACACTTTGTCATTCTTTCTTTTCCCCCTCCCAGTCTCTCCTCAGCATCCCAGGCTCCCCTTTCCTCTCCCGACACAACAGCAAGAGCAGCATCTTCAGCTACAAGGGGCGGTTTCGTGACCCGGGTTCGGAGAACGAGTTTGCGGATGACGAGCACAGCACCGTGGAGGAAAGCGAAGGCCGGAGAGATTCCCTCTTCATCCCCATCCGCGGCCGCGACCGCAGGAGCAGCTACAGCGGGTACAGCGGGTACAGCCAGGGCAGCCGCTCCTCACGGATCTTCCCCAACCTCCGCCGCAACGTGAAGAGGAACAGCACGGTGGACTGCAACGGCGTGGTGTCCCTCATCGGTGGCCCCCCTTCCAGCATGCCCGGGGGACGCCTTCTGCCTGAGGTGAAATAGATGAGGCAGCTGCCCTGAGGGTGTAGGGAAGGCCCTAGGTAGGGTAGTGAAGGCCGTAGGTAGGGTAGGGAAGGCCGTAGGTAGGGTAGGGAAGGCCCTAGGTAGGGTAGGGATGGCCAACTCCTCTCTCCTCTCCCAAACACCACCCTCTGAGCACACCAGGCTCCCTGTCCGACCCAGTGTCCATCTGTCCAACCGCAGGCCATGGGTCTGTACCGCATTGAGCACCATCATCACCTCACCATCCCTCGCTCCTTCTCAAACTCAGTGACCCACCTCCTCCTCCTCCTCCTCCCCCAGCTTCCTGGGAAAAAGAGGCTTGGAATCGAGCCCTTAATTAAAGGACTAATAATAGTAGGAGCCCTCGGTGTCTGTCGGGGCAATTCAGAAGGAGCTATTTAAAGCATGGGAATGGGGAAACCACCCAAAGTCTGCTGCAAATGTTCTCCACAATCAGATAAAATATTTAGGGATTCAAAAGGGAACGCAAACAATCTTTTAGCTCTCGCTAAATTTTGCAAGGGAAAATAAGGACTGTTAGTAAAATAAGGGCTTTTAAAAATACTATTTTTTAATTTTTGAATTCTCCTTGACTGGCTTTTTGTAATTAGTTGACTGAATTGGTATTGAGTAACCTTTTTAGTGGATGAACATTTTAGAATGCAGGAGAGAAACAAAGCTCAAAAAACAATATTTGTTAGTGGGGTGTAAAAGAATGTGGACAAGATCGAAACAACATAATTTGAGAGATACCTGAAGCGATTTTTTTCTGAGAAAAGTCTGGTTACCGTTCCTATACATTCCAAGCTATTTTTTTTTTTTAGTTATTTCAATTCTTGCAACCTGTTTGACCTTAATTAGTTACATTAAGCATCAGTTGCTATCTGTGGTTTTTCTTCCCGAGTTAGCACGTTAATTCAATGTTTGCTTTAGTATTTAATTCTCTTTCTAACACAGTACGAGCGTGGCAGGAGCAGTAACCTGCATGCTGCGTGCCTCAAAGGGGGAGTATTTCTTAGCAGTTATTTTGTGAGCCCTTTACGTAGAGAGGGTTCAGGAAGCAGTTAAGTGTCACAGGGGAGACCTGCCTGGGCTGGGCAGAGACCTCGGCTCACGAGCCGACAGCGGCAAATTCCTGTAATGAGGAGAAAAGCCCATTTATCTGTTAGCACATGAGATTGTCTGTGCCCTCGCAGAGATTGACCCTGGGAGGGAAACTGTGAGGTGCCTTTAGAAGCACCTCTTTGACTTGGGGGAGCAAGCTGATCCTTCAGCAGGGTGAGATCCAGATGTGGTTTCATCTCCATGTTGTGTTCATAGTGGGCTGGAGTGGGAGAAATCCCTGCTGGTTCTCAGAGAGTGATGTGGCCGGGGGTTCTCTTATCCTAGGTTTCAGATGAAGGTTTTGAAATAAGTGTTGATACCGTCAAATGCTCAGTTCCTAAACCTGATGAGTGTGGGTGGTGCAAAGGAGGCTGGGCTGGAGCTCCCACTCTGACCAGGGGGGTGTAAGGGGGGCTGGGGGGAAGAGTCACTGCTGGTCTGTGCCGTTTGGTAGCAGCACGGCAGCCTTTGTTATATTCTTATATTTCAAAGAAGCGTTCTTCGAAATACAGTCCTTGATTTGTCTAAGGCTGCAAAGTGCTGGTGCTGGGAGAAATGAGGGCTTGAGTGTTGGTTTGACCACTTACCTGATGTAGGAAAGCAAGGAGGATAGCAGGAACAACAGTGGCTTTCTCACTTGGGCATGCATGCCATGTTTCGGGGCTGAGAGTATGTAAAATACTGGGAAGACTAAGAGTTTGTGTTAATCACCATATTTGCAGGGCACTACTGAAATCGAAATCAGAAAGAAGCCTGGTGGGTCTCTCCTGGTCTCCATGGATCAGGTGAACGCATCCTATGGAAGAAAGGATCGAACCAACAGCGTGATGACGGGGTTGACAAATACCCTTGTTGAGGGTAGGTATGGCTTGGAGGTGTGTGTTTCCAGTAGGTACGGACCCGTTGCCCTCCCGTGGTGTGTGCTGCAGGAAGGCAGACCCATTCTTCTGGCCATTATGGGTAGTTCCTCACACCATGTCTGCCCTGGGTTCCCTGTGCCGGAGCCGGGCTGGCTGTCCCTCTCCATGGCACAAAACATGGACGTGGACACACACGTCTGCTCCGTCTGTCCAAGAGGCACCCAGCAGTGATGTTAAACCCCATGAGATGGCTTCATGGTGGCTGTGGGGACCAGAGCCATCATCATAGGGAGCTGGGAAAGGAGCCCAGGCTTGGGTCAGACCCCATCTGTTGGGCACGGTGGCACCACAGACATCACGTCTGAGCCTTGGGTACCAGAGAGAGGACATGCCTGTCCTTCAGACACAGAATTCAGCTGACTTTCGAGACTCACACATTGGTTTTGCCTTAACCTACTTCTTTTGAGTCTTCGTTAGTATGGAAATATTCATTAGACTTTATTTTACTGGATTTTCCATCTAAATTTTACAGATACAGAGGTAAAGACAACAAAGAGTTGTAGTTTTACAATACAGAATGTGCCGCGTGGAGATTATAGAGGTAGTGTCTGACATGGGTGGTGTGTCTTCGGCCCTTTCCAAAGGACTGGAGGGACCCTCCTTTGGTCACAGTCCTGGGGAGGAGGTTTGAGCTGCGCCAAGAGCCGGGGTGTGACAGCTGCCAGAAGAGAAAGGGACTTCTGGATGACGGAAATTCTGAAAGGGACAGCACGCGGAGATGAGATTTCCAAATATGTTATGCAGGAGCCGGCAAGAATTTATGAACAGCAGCCATATGAGGCTGATGATCTCAAATTCCTGCTGTCTTCTGCAATAAAATTGTATGAAAACTAAATATACTTAGAAACAGAGCAGGGTTCTGCTGCTGCTTCCCTCCTGCGCAAACGCCTACAGGCTACAGTGCTACGGTCCTCCTTTTTAACTTTAGAAATTCCACGGCAACTAAATACTAAGCAACCAGGGAACCAATGAGAAAGAGAGAGCAGTGGTCCTTTCCCTGCCCATAAAAAAATAAAACTTCAGCACGAACAGCTGTGGATCCTGAATGGAACCATTGCAAGACAAAGAATAGAGGGGGGAACTCCCGATTTTTATTTTTTTTCCCCTAAGCACTTGAAAGAAGCCAGTGTAAAAAAAAAAAATAACGGACACAACATCATGTTAGATTTCTGTAAATGCGTGTGGTTAGTCTTAATCAGGTTACTCCTGTTTAAAATCCTTTGCAGCATTATGTCATATATTTCCTCTTTTAGACCGTGTGTGCATTCAGCGCAGAATTCATTTAAGTTATTTAAAAACTGGCTCCGAAGACAGTTTGGAATCCGTAACTTTGATTCAAACCATTTTACCTTGATCAGTTCCGAGTTAAATATATCCCTTCATTTCAAATAATTTGGACTGAATCCTAAGACCCAGGCGGGGCTGCCGGGCGGGGTTAGAGCTGCCCCTCCTGCAGACGTAGGGCCAGAGAAGAAGCCCAGGGCAAAGACTCGCCCAGAGTCTCCTGCTGGGCCATGGCCCCAAGGCTGGTGGCTTGGTCCCTCCTCGTCTGAAGCCATTGCCAAGTGTCCTGCACGTCCCTGGTTCCGAGTGCCATGTGTATGTAGGGCAAAACATGTCTTTGGCCCGAAAGTATTGAATTGTTGTGCAAGCAGGGAGACACGGGAGGGTTGGACGGTGTTTTAGATGGATCCCGTGACCTTAGAAGTGGGGGCTGAACTCCTGTTGCTGTTTTGTTTCGGAACTGCAGAGCTGGAAGAGTCCCAGAGGAAGTGTCCCCCTTGCTGGTATAAATTTGCCAATACATTCTTGATCTGGGAATGCCACCCGTACTGGATGAAGCTGAAGGAGATAGTGAACTTAATTGTCATGGATCCTTTTGTTGACTTGGCCATCACCATCTGTATTGTGCTGAACACCTTGTTCATGGCGATGGAGCACCATCCTATGACCCCAGAGTTTGAACACGTGCTCTCCGTAGGAAATCTGGTAAGATAGTGTTGGTGAATATTCCTTACAGATCTGCTCCTTCTGGGATACGTTACTTGTTGATATGGACTTTTAGACTGAAAGAACTGCTGTTCCAGGCTCTAGAGCCTGGAGATCTAGCCTGAAGATCCAAAAATGAACGAAAGCAAATCTTTGCCTGTTCTTTCTTTGTCTTTTTCCTCTAGAGCCTGGAACAGCAGTTCTTTCAGTCTAAGTCCACATCAACAAGTAACACTGAGTGGCACAAGCTTGCCCTCGCTGCAGTCTGTGGCCACTTGGATGTTGGCTGAGGGTGCCTTCTGGTCAGAATTTATTACTAATTAGAAATCCATCTGTTAATTCTGGGGCTGCCTGAGTAGGTCGATGATACTTGTGCTGCACGAGGGGAGAAAAGAACATTGTGGGCAAAAACATGGCACTGCCCAGGCTGCACGTTGGAACGGGCACGAGAGGCTGCATCGTTTGATAATTAGCCTGAAAATCAGAAAATGAACAAAAGCGAATCTTTGCCTGTTCTTTCTTTGTCTGTCTTTTCCCTCACCACTCCAGGTTTTCACTGGAATTTTCACAGCAGAAATGTTCCTGAAGCTCATCGCCATGGATCCCTACTATTATTTCCAAGAAGGCTGGAACATCTTTGATGGATTTATTGTCTCCCTCAGTTTAATGGAGCTGGGTCTGGCAGATGTGGAAGGACTTTCTGTGCTGCGATCTTTCCGATTGGTATTCCATATTCCACTTCTTTTTGGACGTTACTTTCTTAGAGCTAATGGAAAGATTTTTACATAAGAAAAGGCAAACACCACTTTTTTCTGGTTTTCGGGAGGACAGAGATGGAGTAGTGTCATTTTTGAGGTCTCTTTTTACTTCACAACTGCTGTTTACAAGCTTTGAGCTACAGCTCGTTGCATTTAGGGGGTAAGGGGTGACTTGGGAGGTGAATGTGGATGGAGAGGGACCGTGCTAGGATGCACCTCTTATTTCATGCCATCAAATTTGGTAGGTCATATGTTAGAGTCTAATAAAAGTGCTGAACATTCACCTGCTTTGACTTGTGCTGTCACTGGTTAAGCTTTTGCAAATTACATGAGGAAAACCTCAAGGTTAGATTTTTGAACGCAGAGAACCACAACTGGGGTTGGATTTTCCAAGGAGCAGAGTACTCAGAAGCTGCCACTTACATCCAGGTTCAGAAAGTCTGTCTCCAGAGGAGATTCCCTGGAAATTAAACTTCGATAGTGTGTTTTGGATATGCCAGGAGAACAAGCCCTTTTTTTCCAGGGAAAGTTGTGAAGTGTTCAGGAAAGAAAAAAGTTATTTTTTGTGATACACCCTTCAAATAAGTCTCCTGACTTCCTTAGTGTTGCGAGGTTTGCAAAGCAAGACGGAGGCTTCATGCTTTTCCTTTGTAAAGGGAGATCCCCAGATGGGGGATAACTAATTATGAAATCCAGGAGGCCACATTCAAAGAGAAGCTCAGCATTCCCTCCTCCCACTGCCCTCAGCAGGAGCACGGCCTCATGTTTATGTTAAATACAGGGTGGTCGCCGTTTAGAAAGTTCTGCCTAATTTTCCTCTTTTTTTAAGATGAAACTAAATTTTTATTTGTCTGTTTTATTTTTTCGGTTTTTGTTTTTTGCAGCTGAGAGTCTTCAAACTGGCCAAGTCCTGGCCCACTCTGAACATGCTGATAAAAATCATCGGTAACTCAGTGGGTGCTTTGGGGAACTTGACCTTGGTGCTAGCCATCATCGTGTTCATCTTTGCTGTGGTGGGCATGCAGCTCTTCGGCAAAAGCTACAAGGAGTGTGTCTGCAAGATCAATCCGGAGTGTGAGCTACCCCGCTGGCACATGCACGATTTCTTCCACTCCTTCCTTATTGTCTTCCGTGTGTTGTGTGGGGAATGGATTGAGACCATGTGGGATTGTATGGAAGTAGCAGGACAGGCCATGTGCTTGATTGTCTTCATGATGGTCATGGTCATCGGAAATTTAGTGGTCAGTAAATGGTTACTGATGGTCTTTATTGGTTGCCTCTGGGTGGGGTAGAACGTGGGGAGACCGCAGGACTAGGGAGTAATGTTTTGTGAGTCTGTTCCAGCTCTGGTGGGGTCCTTCATGGCCTTTGACAGATGAACAGTCCTGTTGACTTTGGTAGCACCAAAGGGTGTGCTTTGCTTGATGAGGGCCTTAAACAGTTGCCCACGAGTAAAGCATCTAGGCACTTTGCAATAAAAGCTGGAGGTACAAAACCCTCAGTCAAAAGGGCCAGACCCACACCTTGCCTGAGGGGGTAAAGGAAGCTTAAAAGAAGGAAAACCTGGCTTTTCAAATGCCAGGAAAGGAGATAATTTGGTATGCAGGGGAAGGTCCTGAGGTGTTAAAATCAGGTTGGAAGTTTCTTCTAAAATCTGCCCACTAGCTCGATCATGAGGTACGGTGGTGTGCAAGAATCGGCTGGTGAAACTGCACGGCCTGTTGTGTGGGAGGTTAGACTAGATCATGATGTTTCCTTCTGGTCTTAAATTTTATGAAGAAAAGTCTATGGAGGAAAATGTAAGCAAGAATGAAGTAGTGTGAACAGTTGCATGTCTTCAAAGTAGCGTTGTGAGCTCTCTCTGAGAGGACTTGTCTCACCAAGGGATTTTGACAAAATAAGTCTTGGGGGCTCTCACTAGATGTGGGCAAGGAAATCAAGCTGGGAGCTTTCACTCAAAATGCCTGGATTTGGCCCATTTCCTTTGAGCCAGAGCTGGGACTAAACCAGTAATGCTGAATTTAAATCCCTTCTATGGCTGCTGCCTAAATCCCTCCCCGGCAGCCGCAGTCTGGCTCCTGCGTGGGGCTCTGTGGTGGGGACCTGCCCAAGTCACATCACCACACAGGGCTGCCCCCTTCATGGGACACGCTGCAGGATCAGTGGGTGCCTCGGTAGGTCTGTGGGACACCAGAGCTGGTTCTCGGTGTGGTGTTTGGAGAGCGAGCTCCCTGTTAACATCAGCAGGACGTGGGTGATTAAATACTCATCTTCAGCTTTGGGAAGGTCACCCTTGTGTGTCAGCTCTGCCAAGCGTCCCCTCTTCTCCTTCAGGTGCTGAACCTGTTCTTAGCCTTGCTACTGAGCTCCTTCAGTGCAGACAACTTGGCAGCAACAGATGATGATGGGGAGATGAACAACCTGCAGATTTCTGTCATTCGCATCAAGAAGGGCATTGCCTGGACCAAGGCAAAAGTGCGTGAGTTCATGCAGGCTCATTTCAAGCAGAGAGAGGCAGATGAGGTTAAACCCTTGGATGAATTGTATGACAAGAAGGTGAACTGCATCGCCAACCATACAGGGGCTGATATCAACAGAGACATTGATTATCAGAAGAATGGCAATGGCACCACAAGCGGAATTGGGAGCAGCGTGGAGAAGTACATCATAGATGAAGATCACATGTCCTTCATCAATAACCCCAATCTCACTGTCCGGGTGCCTATTGCCGTAGGTGAATCGGATTTTGAAAATCTCAACACAGAAGATTTCAGCAGTGATACAGATCCCGACGGCAGCAAAGAGGTAGGATGAAATGTTAAAAATTCACTCTAGTCATTTGACCCTTGTGGAAGTGCCTGGAAGCATCTTGGGAGGGAGAAGTAGATAGTCCCAGCACAAAATTTCTGTTCATGTTATGACGTAGTCTTTGCACTCAAGCCAGAAGTTTCTTGTGCTAGTTACTCTGCGGAGAACCACAAATACTTATAAATATATATAAGTACTTAATACTGTCTGTCCTGTTAACATGCCACGTAACCTGGGTCAGGATCTTAGTGAGGTGAAGTGAGGAAACAACTTTTGTTACAGTAAATCTGGTGAACAAATTGCTGAGTTGTCATGAAGGTGGATATTTTTGGGGAACTACTTAGAGATTGGATTGGGTTTTATTTTGTGTTCAAGAAACTTGATGAGACCAGCTCCTCTGAAGGTAGCACCATCGATATAAAGCCTGAAGTGGAAGAAGTCCCTGTGGAGGCACCAGAGGAGTATCTGGACCCTGACGCGTGCTTCACAGAAGGTAGGCTGACTCTGAGTGTAGGAAGAACCATAGAATCCCATGTTGGAAGGGACCTCAAGGATCATTTGGTCCAACCTTTCTTGGCAAAAGCATGGTCTAGACAAGATGGCCCAGCACCCCGCTCAACCGAACCTTAACAGTGTCCAACGTTGGGGAGTCCACCACTTCCCTGGGGAGACTATTCCAGTGGCTGATTGTTCTCACTGTGAAAAATTTTCTGCTTGTGTCCAATCGGAATCTCCCCAGGAGTAACTTGTACCCATCACCCCTCATCTTTTCCATGTGATTCCTTGTAAAAAGGGAGTCTCCATCTTCTTTGTAGCCACGCTTTAAGCACTGGAACATGGTGATAAGGTCTCCCCTAAGGCTTCCTTCCTCAAGGCTGAACAAACCCAGTTCTCTCAGCCTTTCCTCATACAGCAGCTTCCCAGTCCTTGGATCATCTTGGTGGCCCTTCTCTGGACTCTCTCCAGCCTGGCCACAGCTTTTTTGTATAGCAGGGACCAAAACTGAACACCGTATTCCAGGTGTTCCAGCTGCATAGAGTGGGATAATGACTTCTTTATCTCTGCTGGTGATGCCCTTGGTGGTGCAGCCCAGCATCCCGTGGGGTTTCTCTGCCACAGCAGCACACTGGTCACCCATACTGAGCTTATTGCCCACCAGGGTCCCCGTTGCCCCTTTCCACAGAGCTACTCCCCAGCCAGGTAGATCCCAGCCAGATGGGAAGGCTCTGAGCTGTTTCGGGGACCTGTCTACTCTAAACTTACCTTAAGGTTTGGTCTCAGTCTGGGTCAGGGCTGGCTGTCAGCTTATTTTGAGACTCTCTTTGGACCCTGCATCGCAGACGAAGGAGTTCAGAAGAATTTTCAAAGTCAAGGCCTTGGAGATGCAGTTGCCATTGCAGGGATGTAGATGACCTGTGAGTAGGGCAGGTTGATCTTTCGTACAACAGATGCCTTGAGTAAGTAGAAGCAGAAGAATCTGGCTTCTGGTCGGGTTTCTTTTTTTCCCTTCTGTCACTGGCCTCAATGTCTTTCAGCAGCTGATCCATTATGGGTATTCCCATGGCAAAGATATTTTAAATGGTTCAAGGTTATTTTATCAGCAAGTTTTCCATTCCTCTTCTGTCAAGTGCATGGATCCCTGACCAAATAGAACAATCTGTTCACAAATTGATGTTAATTCAGGTGCTCAGATACAGAAGTGGTGAAAGTAATCCTCAAGAGCACAAGAGGCTGAAACTCAGTGTGTTTGCTGTTGTTGGCGTCAAAACTGCCTCTAGACAATGACAATTTTGTGTTCTTTCATTAAGTCACCTGTTCCCAAGGTGTGGGCTCATGCTCCTGTGTGTGCTGTCCCCGTTGCAGGCTGCACGCAGCGCTGTAAATGCTGCCAGGTCAATATTGAGGAAGGGCTGGGGAAGTCTTGGTGGACCTTGAGGAAGACTTGTTTTCTGATCGTGGAGCACAATTGGTTTGAGACTTTCATCATCTTTATGATCCTACTGAGCAGCGGTGCTCTGGTGAGTAAAATATGGAAATACATGTATCCCAGAGGTGTTAACGAGGGGACATCTAATTGGCAAAGCCTTGTGTAGGAGATTTGGTGAGATAGCAAGCTGTGATGATTCTTACCTGGAAAGCAACACGGCTCCGTTGTAGTAGGTACTGTACAAAAGCCTTTATTAATGATTTTTGTTCAGTTTCAATGAAGAATGAAGACTGAAATCCCGCAAATCTGGGTTCTGATCACAGCTTGACTAGAAATGTGAGGATTTTAGACAAAGTCAGCCTGTATCTGTGTCTCATTTTTGTCATTACCGAACAAGAAGGTTTATATTTCTTCAGTTTCCCATGTTTGCAGAGCTTTTTGACCTCCTGGTGGCACACAGATACAAACAATCCCTGGGTGTGTTTGTTTTCACACAGTGCAGTGTGTAGTAGATGGCATTACACAACAAACAGCTTCAAGCAGGTGCTCCCCGTGAGTTTTAGGACTCAATTCCACAGCAGTTGGGATCCCAGGGCAGCAGCCTGGCGTTCTGCACATCCCAGCTTTCACAGCAATTAACGGGCTGATTAACAACGCGCTCAGCAATTTGGGATGCACCCGTGTGTGACTGTTGTGGTACCAGTGGCTGAACATTTAGATACAAAGGCTGGTACTCGGAGCCCTAAGGCAGCGAAGTTCTTGTGTTACTTATTCAGGACTTTTCCTTTTTGGGGTATTTTTGTGGTTTGGGGTTGCAGTGTTGCAACTGCCAGAGCAGATGCTGGGCACTGTGTAAGAAATGCAATTCCATTGCTTATCGTGGTTTGAGTGAGCTTCTGGATAACGATATTGGGCTGCGTAATAAATCTGATATAATGACATGAGCCCCTGGTTATTTCCCAGGCCTTCGAGGATATTTACATAGAACAGAGGAAAACCATCCGGACCATCCTGGAGTACGCGGACAAAGTCTTCACTTACATTTTCATCCTGGAGATGTTGCTGAAATGGTGTGCTTATGGATTCGTCAAGTTCTTCACCAACGCCTGGTGCTGGCTGGATTTCCTCATTGTGGCTGTATGTATCCTCTCCTCCTTATTTCTGGTTGGAAAAAAAAAAATGTTAGTTGGAGGAATGCTGGGGTAATGTTTTCTCCTGAGAAGTGTCCTGACTGGATCATACACTTGATTCGGATTCAGTCCCAGATATCTGTACGTTTCCAAACCCAGGATGGAGCCCTTGGGCCCGTTGAGTGTTGCTGGTGTTTCCTGTGCAACCCTGGAATTTCTGCCCTGTGGGTCCTGTTGAGCCTGTGGAGATGAAGGAGGGTTTTCCAGCCCTTGGCTCTTTTGCTTCTAGGAGTCCTGCCTACGTGTGGAGCTGCTGGAAGGTGTTAGCAGTGGGAGAACTTGTGTAGATGTGGTGTTCATTGGTGACACCGTGTTCTGTAATCACTTGCTTGTGTCATCAGTGATGGGGGGATGATGAGGGAGGCATCTCCCCACCCCACCGAGCTCTGTGGTTCTGTGGTTTGCTTGTTGTGCAGAATGAAGTTCACCATCATCCTCCTCCTGTTAAAAATATCTAATGCCTGGGAGAGAAAGAGCAGGATGGGATTGAAGAGCCAAGAGATCGTAGCGTAAACAGGGGGAATGTTCGGTCTGGACAGTTGAGCACGTCATTGCCCTGGAATTCCCCTGCAGAACATCTTGGTAGGGAAAACAAATTCTCAAATTTAAAGAACACAGACAATAAAGAGAAGCCTCAGCAATAAATTTGGCTCTGAAGCACAGTAAGGGCTTTTAAAATAAATGGAATTTATGCAAAAAAAGTGGCAGAAAATTGTGAAATTCAATAGGACGTGAAGTCTAAAGAATTGCAAAAAAAAGGAACTTTTGGAATCCCAAGTGTTTGGATTCTTCTGAAACGTTTCATTACATCCAGTTGTGAATCAGTGTCCTTAGCGAGTGCCCCAGGAGCAAGGTTAAAAAAAAGAACAATTTAAATTTTTTCCAAGTTTCTCATTTGGAACATTTTGAATATGATTCAGTTATGCCAAGTTGCTGTTCAGTGACATTATCACTCTGGAAATATTTCTGAGTAGGTGGAGGAACTATGCTTGGAATTCAGGGGTAGAAGTGACTTAAGATGTCTACGTTTCCTGTGGAAGACTGAATTTTTAAATTTATTTTTTTTTTAAATCCTCTCTGATCCCCTTAACACCTTTCTTTATAACACACATCTTGAAGAAGTAACTCTTCTTTTCTGAAAATAACCCTGCATCTCTCTCAGTGCCTTAAGATGAAGTACAAGTGCTAACATGGGAGCTCATGGGAGATACCATCTACTTTTCTGAACCGCCTTGAGGAGGGTGTTTCAGCAAACGAAATTCTTTGGGGCACTGGATTAAAACTTCCACCAGCAGCTGAGCATAAAAATAGCACTTGCAGTCCTTGTGCTTCGTGTTGTGAGTTGGGCTCCAGCTGTTGGGAAGGAGCGAAGAGCAGGTTAATTGGCAAATGGGTTAAAAGCTTCCTCTGCTTCCCAGGTGTCTGCTGGTGGGGTGAAGGTGAGGGACACGTCTGCAGGGGGTGGGTGAGTGTGTGTGTACAAGGAGCCAGAAATTTTGCAGAAATTTCTCTTTTCACTTGCTGTGGTAGACAGGAGAGTTGCACATTTTTCTCTGCAAAGCATCTGAAAGGTGAATTTAAGATGCCAAGATATTACTCGGCAAAATCTCAGCTATGCATCTTTCTAGAGCTGGTTTAGGGAGCAAATGAGCAAAACCCAACCAAGATGAAAACATTTCTGCGTGAAGCTACTTCAGTTACTTGGAGTCAGATGGAATCTGGGCTGGTTGTCTTCTGGGTAACAAGAAGATGCTTGCCTCCCGTCTTCAGAAAGGGCTGATGCTCATTTTGAGATAGACTCAGCTAAATGGAGCTTTGGCACTACCAGCTTTTGCATTTCTGTGTTGTAGTGGAGCCAGTTGCCAGCTGTCAGTGCCACAGTGTGTGGCCCAGAGCTGTGCCCTGCCCATGCCATGTCCCCCTGAGCTGGGCTTTGCAGGACCATCACTTACGAAGCTGCTTTTAGACTCTAACCCCATCTGGGAGTCAGAGGGTGAGCAACGGCCCCTCCTTTATGGTACAAGACCACAGAGGTGTTGAGATTCTGTGATTCTGAGCCTGAATTCTTGTGCCATAAAGTCTTGTGCGGATGATTACTCAAAAATGTCCCTAATTTTAAGGCCAAGCTCAAGGCTCAGTTTTCATGGGCACTGAAGCAACTGTGGCTTTCCAGTGGTAAGGTGCTGGACCTGTTTCAAGGTGGGCACCCAAAGTAATCACTGGATGAGCTTTGGTCTTCTATTTCTTTGTGCTTTGTTTCCTGACGTGTTAACTGATAACGTTCTTTTGCTTTCTCAGGCTACACTTGTACATACGTTTGCCAGAAAAGAGCCTGTGGAGCTGTAGGGGCCGTCACTTTTGTCCCTGTTGCAGACTGCCAAACCCATCAGCTGTCCATGGCTGTTGTGCATGATGTTCTTAATGGCACCCGCTTCCCTTGCACCGAATGAGAGAATGGCTCGAGTAATGTCCTTTCTTAGCCTTCCCCAACGTTTGTGCACACACTGAGAGCCAAGGCTGTTTGGTGACTGCCGTGGGCAGTGTGCTAGGGGACCCCGGGCACGGTTGCGGGTCGGTCAGCCTGCTGCAGGGATTCACTGCCTTGCTTGAGGAAAAGCATCCGGGTTAAAATGGGTTTCCTGTGCGTTTTTGCTTTCGTCATGGTAGCAAAGTGGAGATGATGCAACTTTAAGGAGCTGGTTACTGACGGTGTGGCAGCATGCCTTGTCTTCCTGGGGAAAGGAGCAGAACGGTGCCCTTCTGTGTCGTTCTCTCCGTGCTCAAAACTAACAGACTCTTCCTTTTATTCCAAATGACGGCAGGGGGGAGGTCTGAGCCCTTCTCAATTCAGTGCAGCCCTGCTTTTTATTAACGGGCTGGTTTGCTGCACACTTTTATTAAATGGGATCTAGTCTGAGCACTGGACACAGTGAATGCACCGCGGCTGGAACCATAAATGGCAAAACTGGGGTTATTGGTACTGGTTTTGCTCTGGGATAGGATTGCCCCAGCTGGGTCCAGCACAAACCTTGCTCCTCTCTCCGTTTTCTGACTGACAATGTGACAAAGCTTTTGTGTAATTATCCTTTTGGGTTATTGAATCTGAACTTAGGCACAGAGCGCTCTTTATGGGCTGTAGTGCCATCACGTCTGGAGGAAGAAGTGATTTTTGGAATACACTTAAAAATACAAAGTGGTGCCCCTTCTGCTCCAGCGCGTGTGATGCAATGGGAATTCTAACACTGTGCTGAGAAACTCATCTTAGTGTTACAAGAGTGCTAACTACATCTTCTATTCATCTATCTAACTGGAGTTATCCCCAGTGTCTTTTGTAGACAAGATAAAAGTGGGAAATATTACCAGAATATGACAAAATTCCAGGCAGGTCGAGGGTCTGTGTGAATTTTTGTGGCAGGAGTAGACTGTGGCACCTGGGAGTTTAAACACCAAAGTATTGCTTCCGTGGTATGGCCTGGCAGACCATGTTTAACTCTGCGCTGCTCTAAAGATATTTATTTTTTATTGGCACTTGAGTGATTGGTATTTTAATTGCCCAGTGCCATCGGTCCCGTGCGTGAACGGGGCAGGAGGGCAGTGGCTCCGGTGGGTTTGTCCCCCCGCTGCCGGTGCCTCCTCCTGGTGCGACCCTCGAGGGGGAAGCACAGACCCTGGGGTGCCAAAGTGGGGTCAGGGGGCTCTGGGAGCTCGGGGGGCTGCCTGTGCAGCCCAATGGCCCCCCAAAATGGGACCAGCCATTTGTCTGCCAGAACAAACAGCAAAGAACCGCCTCGTGCTGGAGCAGGGCTTTGGCCTTGATGAAAAGTTTTGAAGATCGAAGTGAAAGATGTTTTAAAAAGTTATTCTTCCATAAGAATTCCTTTTTATTTATGTATTTTTGAATCTTTTTGTTCCTGATGCAGCTCAACCCTCTGTTGGTATAGAAGGGTTTCCTGTCAGAGGTTTATTGCAGAATGCTCCCGTGGCCTCAGCCACGGCCTCGGATCTCAGTAGCCCCAAATTCAGCTGGAGCTGTGATTTTTATTTTTCCCCCCTCCTTCCTCCCTTCAGCCTGCTCCACTGCTCACTCATCAGTGCAGGATCATCCTGCCTGACCTCAGAAAGGCTGATGAAAGGGCCCGGATTCTGTATGGTTTCTGCAGCCCAGACTCTGTTTCCCGACAGCAGGAATGCTGCCTTCCTCCCCCGGCCCTCGGGGGGTTCCTCTTACAGCCCAGACCAGTTTGGAGGACCAGCAGGGTTCCTGGCTTGTGCCTGGGCTCGTCTGGTCCCTGAGCCCTGTCCTTTACTGGTGCCGATGGCCTTGGTGGAGCCCCAGGAGCTGGCCCCAGGGGTACAGCCCTGCCCGTGACAAACCCTCCTCTGAGTGAGGGGTCCAGCTCCCGCAGGGCACGGGGAAGCGCTGGATCAGCTCAGTTCAGCAGTGGGAGCTTCAGGCTTGGGCAGGTCGAAAGGGATTTGATCTTGTTGCAGTTTGTGCTGATGAGCCAGGCTTCCCCGCTGCGGAGGTTTGGAGCAGAACACCCAAATTTAACAGCTCTGTCCAGACAAACCCTCCCATGGCAGTGCCTCCCCCCAGGCACCAGTGTTTCTCCACGATGAACGCTGGTGTCTTGTTTTGTTCTAACTATTGCTGGTTCACCATCGAAACCGGTGAGCTTGGGTCATCCAGCACCTTCCTTGTCCCAGTGGTGGTCCCCAGGAAAACAGGTCCCCCGTTTCATGGCAGCAGTCTCTTGCCAGCCTGTCGCGGTTGTCAGGTACTGTCTGTATTGGAATTTTTGGTCATTTCATTCTACAGGAGTGATTTCTAGTCTTGTTTTCTTCTCTGCAGGCCTGAAGACCATTGTGGGTGCCCTAATTCAGTCTGTGAAGAAGCTGTCGGATGTAATGATCTTGACAGTGTTTTGTCTCAGTGTCTTTGCTCTCATCGGGTTGCAGCTCTTTATGGGCAATTTAAGGAACAAATGTGTAATATGGCCAATTAACGTGAACGAGACTTTCCTGGATAACGGCTCGAAGGGCTTTGACTGGGAGGAATACACCAACAATATGTGTAGGTATTTCTGCAGTGATACTCCCTAAAACCTTAATGACTTAATGCTGCTGACCAGGGTTTCTGACATGGCTTATAACGTAGCATGTCCAGCTTTGGGCAGAAAAAAAACCTTTGCTCAGATACTTTTTGTTTTTTTGGAAACTTGGCTTTGTTAAGGTGTTTCTAGTTGGGTCTTCACTGTGCTCTTTTTAGCTAAATACTTTGTTAAAAATACTCCCCCCTCGCCCCCCGCCCTGTTTCTGATTAAAAACTATTTAAATACGGTAAAAGGGAAGGAACTGCCCATTTAAATCCCTGGTCTTAGTGTCAGGACCTTTGCCAAGTTCTGCTGGTTCTCCAGCGAAGGCCTGGGAAGCTGTTGGTACCTGTCTCTGCTTTGCAGCATCCTCTGGCACTGGCTGGAAATGATGCTGAAGAATCATTTCAGAGCTGGAAATGATGCTGCGGAGGATCAAGGAACCAGCCTCCAAGTTTTTGTAACTTAATTTCTTCCTCCCTTCTCACTTGGAGCTTCTCAGCTGTGCAGTCAGCTCATTTTACATTTTTATTCATAACGCTGTACTGACTTCCAGAAAGGTGTTTAAACTCAGGCACGGTTAGTGGGGTTAATGTTATTTAAAGCTGAGTTAGTTAACTGATAAATTTATCAGTTGGGGATCTGGAGGGATGCTCAGGGAAGGTTTTTGTGGCGCTATAGTGTATTAAATCCTCTAACTCCATATGTGTGTGCATGTAATCTTTTCTTTTTCATCTTCTTCAGCAAATTTTTACATAATTCCTGGCGCCCCTGATCCTTTGCTCTGTGGTAACAGCTCGGATGCAGGGTGAGTGTTGGTCTTTATTCAAAGCAGAGACTAATCCCCGTTGGTGTTGGCTAACGATGGCGAAACCTTTGGGATGTTTCCTGTTGCTTCCTTTGTCGGTTCTGGTGTTACTTGCCATGTAAAAGGCTTCACGTTTTTTAATCTAATTATTAATCCATTGTTACTATCTGTTTGACTGATATAATGTAAACTGACATTTTCTGCGTCCTCTCAGGAGGCAGGTACATCTGATGGTGGTCACTAGTGGCATTATTTCCCTCTGAGTGCAGTCACAAGTCACCAGAGGAGGGGGGGAGGGAGGTTCAGAAATGGAAAATTTCCATGTCCTATTGGTTCCAACTGGTTTTTCAGCCAGTCCTTCAGCTCTGAAATACGTCTTTCTGGCTGACATTGGGTGAAAAGCCACACTTTGCCACATCTTGTTTCCATGGGACAAAGCAAACGGGGCTTTTCCAAGATCATCTCTGTCGGTCTCCTTCTCTGCTCTCCTTACCCGACGTGGGGAGCAGAAGGCACACTGTGTGGTGGGAGGGTTGTGAAAATCTCCATGAAAACGGCTAATTGCCTGTTGTCAAATTGCTCTGTCCCTTTCTCTGCCTCTGTGCCCTGAAATGCTGTGTCCCTTTGGCAGCCAATGTCCGGAGGGTTACACGTGCATGAAAGCAGGACGGAACCCCAACTACGGTTACACGAGCTTTGACACTTTCAGCTGGGCTTTCCTGGCTTTATTTCGCCTTATGACTCAGGACTTCTGGGAAAACTTGTATCAATTGGTAAGTAAAGACTTCACTTGGGTGTTAATACGAGATGAGAATTTGGGGACAATGCAGGAAAGGAAAACGTGTCAAGCCTTATTATATTCCTCCTGCCTGAAAGAGCAGCTGGAAGCAGAGCGGTGCAGCGAGGTGGTGAGTGATGAGGAGGAAGAGGATGTCACCAGGAAGCAGGTGTTGGACCCTGGAGCTCAGGAGGGACAGCAGGTCCTCAGGGTGCCCCGTGGCTGAGCTGTGAATGAATTCTGGAAGGATCTGACCTGCAGGAGATGGCTCATGGCAAGGGGTTGGACTAGGTGACCTTTAAAGGTCCCTTCTAACCCAAACCATCCTGTGATTCTGTGGTTGTGAGAGGTTCAGCTCCACCCTCAGAAGCTGCTGGGGTGCTTTGGAGGGCAGAGTGTTTCCTCGTAACCGGAGGACGGTTTGGGGACCTTGCTGAAATGGCTTTTCTGTTTGGTTTGAAGGGAGTCTCAGCATTGAGTTTCACACTGTACTTGTGAATCTTTCAGTTTGCATCCGTTGGATGTTCCCTTAAGAGAAGAGGAGGGATGACACCTTTTGTTTTTTATGGCCTAATGGATGAGCAGTGTCTTAGTGCTTTGCAGGGGAAGTGCTGAGATGTTAAATATTCAGCACCGCTATATTTTCTTAGAAACGTTCAGGTCAAGAAACTTGGGATCAGTTCCCCTATCAGGTGTCACTCTGAAATTGCTTTCCACTTTCCTTTTCTCTTCCCTCTGCCCTGCTCCTCTTCTTCCAGACCTTACGAGCAGCAGGAAAAACCTACATGATCTTCTTTGTCTTGGTGATCTTTGTGGGATCGTTCTACCTGGTCAATCTCATTTTGGCTGTGGTGGCCATGGCTTATGAAGAGCAGAACCAGGCCACGCTGGAGGAGGCAGAGCAGAAAGAGGCAGAATTTAAGGCCATGTTGGAGCAACTGAAAAAGCAGCAGGAAGAAGCACAGGTGAGTGTTCCGATGGTGTGGGGTTTGATGCATTTACATATTTTAAGATTTTTAGCCCGCTATTACAGAGCAGTGATGTATAACCAGAAAATGCAGCAGTGCCCTGGCATCACGTCCTCTGCTGACTGGGGTGGCGTCATTCCTTCTCTCTTCCTGGCTGCTGCTCAAGCTTGCTGTGTTTATTTTGTATCAGAAAACTGCCTTCTGTTAAGGAATTTTTAAATGATCCCAGAATTTCTAGTTAATTGTGAGAATATCTTTGCAAGACGGACAAGCACAGGTTTGTCAGTCCTTTACCAAATGTTTATAAACAAAGCTGAGGGACTGAGAGAGATCACTCTACCTGCAAAAGTTGACTGTAAAAATGTATACAAGTCCTGGCTGCAAGTTTCTTCCAAGAGAAAGAATAAGCATCTCAGTCCTACCCCAAAGACCTGTGCTGTAGGCGTTAAGCCACACTTTTAAAGGAGAAAATGGAGTATTAATGACAGTAAGACCTGATTTATTTTCCTCCCCTCTTGCCTTCGCCCTCAGGCCGCTGCCATGGTCACTTCGGCAGGGACCGTCTCTGAGGATGCTGTGGAAGATGATGGTGGGGGGAGGATGTCTCGGAGCTCCTCTGAGATTTCCAAACTCAGTTCCAAGAGTGCCAAGGAGCGTCGAAACAGGAGGAAGAAGCGAAAGGACAAGGAACTGTCAGAAGGAGATGAGAAGTGTGACACTGAGAAGGTGTTCAAGTCCGAGTCTGAGGATGGCATGAGGAGGAAGGCATTTAGGCTGCCAGATAACAGGCTAGGAAGGAAGTTTTCCATCATGAACCAGGTAGTTTTCATTCCCTTTATATGTTTATGCTTGCTTGTAGTCGAGATAATATTCTAGTTTAGACCCTGATTAGCATGTCAAGGCAATCTGCCCACCATCATGAACTTGCAGCGGATCAGGAGGGCACTTACAGGCTAAGTTTACAGCCCTGCACGCACTTACCGTGGCGTAAGTTGCCCTGAGAGGAGGGAATCTCACCAGGAAATTTCTTTGCTGAGGTAGCTCTGCCAGCCAAGGGTGAACAACTCTTACGGTACCGCTGCTGCCGAGGTGGCGGTGGCTTGTGTAGACCTGGAGAGAGAGTGAAACCACGTTAGCAGCACTTGTCGGCACCGCGGCGCTTCCTTTCCCTGCTCTTCACACTTTGTCATTCTTTCTTTTCCCCCTCCCAGTCTCTCCTCAGCATCCCAGGCTCCCCTTTCCTCTCCCGACACAACAGCAAGAGCAGCATCTTCAGCTACAAGGGGCGGTTTCGTGACCCGGGTTCGGAGAACGAGTTTGCGGATGACGAGCACAGCACCGTGGAGGAAAGCGAAGGCCGGAGAGATTCCCTCTTCATCCCCATCCGCGGCCGCGACCGCAGGAGCAGCTACAGCGGGTACAGCGGGTACAGCCAGGGCAGCCGCTCCTCACGGATCTTCCCCAACCTCCGCCGCAACGTGAAGAGGAACAGCACGGTGGACTGCAACGGCGTGGTGTCCCTCATCGGTGGCCCCCCTTCCAGCATGCCCGGGGGACGCCTTCTGCCTGAGGTGAAATGGATGAGGCAGCTGCCCTGAGGGTGTAGGGAAGGCCCTAGGTAGGGTAGTGAAGGCCGTAGGTAGGGTAGTGAAGGCCGTAGGTAGGGTAGGGAAGGCCGTAGGTAGGGTAGGGAAGGCCCTAGGTAGGGTAGTGAAGGCCGTAGGTAGGGTAGGGAAGGCCGTAGGTAGGGTAGGGAAGGCCCTAGGTAGGGTAGGGAAGGCCGTAGGTAGGGTAGGGATGGCCAACTCCTCTTTCCTCTCCCAAACACCACCCTCTGAGTGCACCAGGCTCCCCGTCCGACCCGGCGTCCATCTGTCCAACTGCAGGCCATGGGCCTGTACCAGATTGAGCACCCTGCGCCTCACCATCCCTCGCTCCTTCTCAAACTCAGTGCCCCACCTCCTCCTCCTCCTCCTCCCCCAGCTTCCTGGGAAAAAGAGGCTTGGAATCGAGCCCTTAATTAAAGGACTAATAATAGTAGGAGCCCTCGGTGTCTGTCGGGGCAATTCAGAAGGAGCTATTTAAAGCATGGGAATGGGGAAACCACCCAAAGTCTGCTGCAAATGTTCTCCACAATCAGATAAAATATTTAGGGATTCAAAAGGGAACGCAAACAATCTTTTAGCTCTCGCTAAATTTTGCAAGGGAAAATAAGGACTGTTAGTAAAATAAGGGCTTTTAAAAATACTATTTTTTAATTTTTGAATTCTCCTTGACTGCCTTTTTGTAATTAGTTGACTGAATTGGTATTGAGTAACCTTTTTAGTGGATGAACATTTTAGAATGCAGGAGAGAAACAAAGCTCAAAAACCAATATTTGTTAGTGGGGTGTAAAAAAATGTGGACAAGATCGAAACAACATAATTTGAGAGATACCTGAATCGATTTTTTTCTGAGAAAAGTCTGGTTACCGTTCCTATACATTCCAAGCTATTTTTTTTTTTTAGTTATTTCAATTCTTGCAACCTGTTTGACCTTAATTAGTTACATTAAGCATCAGTTGCTCTCTTGTGTTTTTTCTTCCCGAGTTAGCATGTTAATTCAATGTTTGCTTCAGTATTTAATTCTCTTTCTAACACGGTATGAGTGTGGCAGGAGCAGTAACCTGCATGCTGCGTGCCTCAAAGGGGGAGTATTTCTTAGCAGTTATTTTGTGAGCCCTTTACGTAGAGAGGGTTCAAGATCTGTGGTTTTTCTTCCCGAGTTAGCACGTTAATTCAATGTTTGCTTTAGTATTTAATTCTCTTTCTAACACAGTACGAGCGTGGCAGGAGCAGTAACCTGCATGCTGCGTGCCTCAAAGGGGGAGTATTTCTTAGCAGTTATTTTGTGAGCCCTTTACGTAGAGAGGGTTCAAGAAGCAGTTAAGTGTCACAGGGGGAGACCCACCTGGGCTGGGCAGAGACCTCGGCTCACGAGCCGACAGCGGCAAATTCCTGTAATGAGGAGAAAAGCCCATTTATCTGTTAGCACATGAGATTGTCTGTGCCCTCGCAGAGATTGACCCTGGGAGGGAAACTGTGAGGTGCCTTTAGAAGCACCTCTTTGACTTGGGGGAGCAAGCTGATCCTTCAGCAGGGTGAGATCCAGATGTGGTTTCATCTCCATGTTGTGTCAGAAAATCAGCTTCATAGTGGGCTGGAGTGGGAGAAATCCCTGCTGGTTCTCAGAGAGTGATGTGGCCGGGGGTTCTCTTATCCTAGGTTTCAGATGAAGGTTTTGAAATAAGTGTTGATACCGTCAAATGCTCAGTTCCTAAACCTGATGAGTGTGGGTGGTGCAGAGGAGGCTGGGCTGGAGCTCCCACTCTGACCAGGGGGGTGTAAGGGGGGCTGGGGGGAAGAGTCACTGCTGGTCTGTGCCGTTTGGTAGCAGCACGGCAGCCTTTGTTATATTCTTATATTTCAAAGAAGCGTTCTTCGAAATACAGTCCTTGATTTGTCTAAGGCTGCAAAGTGCTGGTGCTGGGAGAAATGAGGGCTTGAGTGTTGGTTTGACCACTTACCTGATGTAGGAAAGCAAGGAGGATAGCAGGAACAACAGTGGCTTTCTCACTTGGGCATGCATGCCATGTTTCGGGGCTGAGAGTATGTAAAATACTGGGAAGACTAAGAGTTTGTGTTAATCACCATATTTGCAGGGCACTACTGAAATCGAAATCAGAAAGAAGCCTGGTGGGTCTCTCCTGGTCTCCATGGATCAGGTGAACGCATCCTATGGAAGAAAGGATCGAACCAACAGCGTGATGACGGGGTTGACAAATACCCTTGTTGAGGGTAGGTATGGCTTGGAGGTGTGTGTTTCCAGTAGGTACGGACCCGTTGCCCTCCCGTGGTGTGTGCTGCAGGAAGGCAGACCCATTCTTCTGGCCATTATGGATAGTTCCTCACACCATGTCTGCCCTGGGTTCCCTGTGCCGGAGCCGGGCTGGCTGTCCCTCTGCATGGCACAAAACATGGACGTGGACACACACGTCTGCTCCGTCTGTCCAAGAGGCACTCAGCAGTGATGTTAAACCCCATGAGATGGGTTCATGGTGGCTGTGGGGACCAGAGCCATCATCATAGGGAGCTGGGAAAGGAGCCCAGGCTTGGGTCAGACCCCATCTTAAGGAGCCCAGGCTTGGGTCAAACCCCATCTGTTGGGCACGGTGGCACCACAGACATCACGTCTGAGCCTTGGGTACTGGAGAGAGGACATGCCTGTCCTTCAGACACAGAATTCAGCTGACTTTCGAGTGATTCACACATTGGTTTTGCCTAAACCTACTTCTTTTGAGTCTTTGTTAGTATGGAAATATTCATTAGACTTTATTTTACTGGATTTTCCATCTAAATTTTACAGATACAGAGGTAAAGACAACAAAGAGTTGTAGTTTTACAATACTGAATGTGCCGCGTGGAGATTATAGAGGTAGTGTCTGACATGGGTGGTAGGTCTTCGGCCCTCTCCCAGGGACTGGAGGGACCCTCCTTTGGTCACAGTCCTGGGGAGGAGGTTTGAGCTGCGCCGAGAGCCGGGGTGTGACAGCTGCCAGAAGAGAAAGGGACTTCTGGATGACGGAAATTCTGAAAGGGACAGCACGCGGAGATGAGATTTCCAAATATGTTATGCAGGAGCCGGCAAGAATTTATGAACAGCAGCCATATGAGGCTGATGATCTCAAATTCCTGCTGTCTTCTGCAATAAAATTGTATGAAAACTAAATATACTTAGAAACAGAGCAGGGTTCTGCTGCTGCTTCCCTCCTGCGCAAACGCCTACAGGCTACAGTGCTACGGTCCTCCTTTTTAACTTTAGAAATTCCACGGCAACTAAATACTAAGCAACCAGGGAACCAATGAGAAAGAGAGAGCAGTGGTCCTTTCCCTGCCCATAAAAAAATAAAACTTCAGCACGAACAGCTGTGGATCCTGAATGGAACCATTGCAAGACAAAGAATAGAGGGGGGAACTCCCGATTTTTATTTTTTTTCCCCTAAGCACTTGAAAGAAGCCAGTGTAAAAAAAAAAAATAACGGACACAACATCATGTTAGATTTCTGTAAATGCATGTGGTTAGTCTTAATCAGGTTATTCCTGTTTAAAATCCTTTGCAGCATTATGTCATATATTTCCTCTTTTAGACCGTGTGTGCATTCAGCGCAGAATTCATTTAAGTTATTTAAAAACTGGCTCCGAAGACAGTTTGGAATCCGTAACTTTGATTCAAACCATTTTACCTTGATCAGTTCCGAGTTAAATATATCCCTTCATTTCAAATAATTTGGACTGAATCCTAAGACCCAGGCGGGGCTGCCGGGCGGGGTTAGAGCTGCCCCTCCTGCAGACGTAGGGCCAGAGAAGAAGCCCAGGGCAAAGACTCGCCCAGAGTCTCCTGCTGGGCCATGGCCCCAAGGCTGGTGGCTTGGTCCCTCCTCGTCTGAAGCCATTGCCAAGTGTCCTGCACGTCCCTGGTTCCGAGTGCCATGTGTATGTAGGGCAAAACATGTCTTTGGCCCGAAAGTATTGAATTGTTGTGCAAGCAGGGAGACACGGGAGGGTTGGACGGTGTTTTAGATGGATCCCGTGACCTTAGAAGTGGGGGCTGAACTCCTGTTGCTGTTTTGTTTCGGAACTGCAGAGCTGGAAGAGTCCCAGAGGAAGTGTCCCCCTTGCTGGTATAAATTTGCCAATACATTCTTGATCTGGGAATGCCACCCGTACTGGATGAAGCTGAAGGAGATAGTGAACTTAATTGTCATGGATCCTTTTGTTGACTTGGCCATCACCATCTGTATTGTGCTGAACACCTTGTTCATGGCGATGGAGCACCATCCTATGACCCCAGAATTTGAACACGTGCTCTCCGTAGGAAATCTGGTAAGATAGTGTTGGTGAATATTCCTTACAGATCTGCTCCTTCTGGGATACGTTACTTGTTGATATGGACTTTTAGACTGAAAGAACTGCTGTTCCAGGCTCTAGAG